ATGTTCTTTTTTTTGTTTTTTGCGGCAGATAATGGAGAACCCTCTTAACTGTGTTACAGCCATCTCATTTTACTTCTCCCCTCTTTTTACTGAGGGGTCTCTTTCCTGACTTTATCATACTTACAGTCCATATCGACGGTGAAACTACCAAACCACGCGCGCATCTCGGTTTCCGACGTTGCAAACTTCCTATCATACTTTATTTTTTTATTGAAAAACCACTCAACATAATTGAATTGCATTTTGCAATGAGGAGCCACTATTTCTGGCCCATTTTAGAAACAACATACATTCCATTGGTTTCCCTATGCAGATATGAGCTTTTATGGGAGAGCCGGAGATAGTGGTCTCTTATTGCAAAATGTAATCCAATTCATGAAAACTTCCATATTTTTCCTCTCTATGAGAAGGCAAATCTGTGTAAATCTCGAGGAACGATATTGATTTGTTCGCCTTCAAAAAAATAAAATAGAAGCGGAGATTACCGCAAGATAGTCTGTCTGGTGGTCAAGGTGGTCTGGTAGCTTTATTGTCACGTCGATACACATTCAAAATTAATCAAAAGACGGAAAAAGTACGGTTGGAAAGAATTAATCAAATATCGCACACTGAGAATAAAATACCAAACCCGATTGATTCGAACGCCTCCCATATCCCGCGCCAGGTCACGCAGTTATCACCGGGTTATCTCCAACTCTCGTGATCTCTGGACGTGCGCTCGTGAATACTTTCGTTCGTTTTTGTTTCGAATTTAATCAAAATTTTATCCACACATTTTCGCGACCTATGCACGGTTTAAAAAAAACTGTACCTACCGCAGAGTAGACACGCTGTCTCCAAAACAGATCAAATATACTCGCTAGTACCGAAGAAAAAAATCACTGAACATCAGTGTCCGTCCACTGGAGAAGTGACGTCAGTCTTAATAACTCCAAATGAGGGGCTTGGAGGACAAGGCGCATAAGTGCAGTTTTTGAAAAAATCAAGGCGTTAACGATTTCAAATAGAATGCATTTTCTGCGAAAAATTTGCTACCAAATTCCAAGTTTTAAGCATCAAAAAGTCAGTCTGAACTTACTTTCCGCCATGAGGATCCATGTAATTTCGGAACTTGAAACACGTTTTCTCGAAATAGCAAAAACTGTACTTATTCGCCTTGTCTTCCGAGCCTCTCAATTTGAGTAATTGATATCAGAATTTAGAGGAGTGTTTTTCGAATATATTTTAAAACAAAAATCACTCGAAAATTTCGAACCAAACGGGACGTATGCGGCAGTCTGCGGCTTACAGTTTTGAAAGGAAGCGAAAAAAAGCTCCATGGCCTTCCGTGGATGATTTAGGTCGTCGAAGTATATGCCCAGACACGAGATACCTATATTAATCAATTACAAGGTCTAAGATTAACTCTGAGACAAACACTTAAGCTTAAACCGCGAATAAACACGATTTGTAATCAATATTTGAGCCTTTCGGCAAAATGTGCGAGCGGGCGACCCAAAAGTACCCTCGAATTTATTTATTTATTTATTTTTTTATTTTTTTTTTTTTTGGTTATCTTTCATTTTAGACTAAATCGCAACTTCTCTACCCTACCGCGAAGCTGGGAAAAAGGGTTGGGAAATTTTGAAGGAGCCTCCTACCCTCACCAGTGGCGTGTCGTGAATAATCGATTATCGATATCTCGCCATTTGAAGCTATGGTAAAGAATCGATTACTAAGGTGTTCGCTGCGAACACCCTGATAATCGATCTTTTTTCACAGGTTTAAATGGCATAGCAATCGATTTATCGCAATTCACGCCACGCCACTGCCTTACCTTCGCATCTGCGATGTTCAGGGTACAATTCTGCCTCGCTAAGGAAGAACGCCGCATGCACATTCGATTGTTGCCAAATTTTCCTCGATTAAACATGTATTTTTAATGACATTCATGGACATTTTTCTTCGAACTTTTCAAATATTTTAAATCAAATTGCGCGCAAAATTGTCTGAAAATTTTGGGAAAAAAATATTTATAAATTTCCCAGTAATATCGGTTTTTATCGAAGGGAACTTGGCAACGTCTGAAGGCTCATACGACGTTTTTCTTTAGCACGGCAGAATTTTGAACCCAACTTCACGCCCTCATTTCACACTCAAATTAACCGATAACTACTCGTAACTTATGGTTTAGGACACTTCGTCGCAACTCCGACGTCAGAGCGTACCTCAATTTTCAAGTGGGCCTTGTGCTCCTTATGACTCAGTGTTTTCCGCAGTGGCGTGGCGTGAATTGCAATTTATCGATTGTTATGCCATTTAAACCTATGGAGAAGGATCGATAAACAGGGTGTTCGCAGCGAACACCTTAATAATCGATTCTTTACCATCGATTTAAATGGCATAACAATCGATACATCGCAATGCACGCCACTGGTTTTCCGGGACTCATGTAGAAATAGAGATACGCCATTAGATCAGCAAAGCGATGACTGGAAAGATTTTCCAATCTAAATCTCAAAATCCGATTTTTCGATCCGTCGTGACAAAAATTGTTTCATTGAAAAGTTAGTCTCGCGGATTGAGGTCCTTAAGTTTTAACCTTAATTTCCTGCCCCCTAACCGTCCGATATCCAAAAAATTGGGAAATTTTAATACATAGAATGATTTTCTATACCGCGCCGAGAAAAAATTGAAGTTGATTTAACATTCTGGATGTAAAAAAAGTGTGCGAGAACTCACAAAACTCTGAATTAATTAAGCGTTACTTAAGCGACGTCAGGATGTAGAACTAACTGCTGTGGCAGGTTATTCGGCATTTTTTGAGTTCTTGCATCCTTTTTTTAAATCCAGAATCAGGGTCGGATTAAGGGGGTGGCCACATGGGCCGCGGCCCATGGCGGCAAATTTTGCAATTTTTTTAAATGTAGCTATAAAGAAAAATCGGATTCAGAAAAAAAAATTACGAACGAGAAAAGGTGACAAAATCTCTCATTTCCTGAGAGTATATCTCTAATTTTGTCATCCTTTTGTGATACAATAGACAGCACCTTTAATTAGTCGAGTTAAGACTAAGAGAGAAACCGAACACGGAATTTGACCTGGAGCGGCGCGGCGCAGAGAGCAATGATGACGAGAACGTGAGATGAAAAGGAGAAACCCTCGGCGTGGCGGTCGGCATGTAACAAATTTTAGCGCCTACAAGATTGCATGAATACTTCATGCATTGCGCCAAAGACAATGCAGTCGCTGCGGTCAGCAGCGCGCGGGCAGCCGCAGCGTGAGACGCATAGCGCCTACGAGACTGCATGAATACTTCACGCATTGCGTCAAACACAGTGCGTGCAGCAGCGGTCGGCCCGAAACGCATAGCGCATGTAGGACTGTAGGAATACTTCACGCATTGCGCCAGACACAGTGCGGTTAGCGCGGCGCCGCGGCGCGGCGGCGGAAGTTAACATTATTAAACCACATTTATGTTTGTTCTTTCATAATTTTTTGGTTCATTTCTTATAAATGGAAAGCCTCGTCCTTGGAGATAGGTTTACGGAACTTAACTTTCGCGCCAAGTTCCGTGAAATTTTGCTAGTAGTGTTAACAGGGCTTTCGCAAAAAATGTGACCAACACGAGTTAACGCGTCTTATACACCCTTCCCCCTCCGGCACGTTCACCTGATGGTTTTTATTGGTGTTTCAAAACGAATGAGAAGGGGCGGCAAAATACAGGCGGCCCATGGACGGCAAGTAAGTAAATCCAGCCCTCTCCAGAATATTAAATCAACATCGGTTCTTTTTTACGGTGAACCCGAAAAACATTTCAAAGATCAGGCTCAGCTTGAAAATAACCTTCTTTGGATAAAGTTTGGGGGTGGATGATTGTTTTAACGTAAATAAAATATATTATTATTATAGAGGCTTGAATAGGAAAACAGATTGGCGTCATCACGACGTTCAAAGGGACTTTAATACCAACTATTTGATGGAAGCCGAGCTTTGTAGATAACTAACAAGAAAAATCCTAGAATAGATTCCGTCCTGCACAATTGATGTTTCATGGCCTACCGTGAAAGTTGAAGGCGAAATGCACCGAGTCTTACAGGCGCCATCAAGTCGCATCGAGTTTGGACCGAAGAAAAGGAGGTTTCAAGTTGCATTCCTCTACTCGAGCTTCCATGTTAAGGACAAAGTAAAACGAATATTTTTTCGCTCAAAATCTTTTTTCTCGGCGTTGAATCTTGGTACCATAAAATTTACGATTGGTTAAATTCAAAATCGCTCCAAACTTATTTTTTAACCAACATGCGACTTGGCGCGTTACTGCTGAACTTCGTTCACATGGCGTACTAGCCCCGTGTCAATTCTGCTTATTCGTCTTTTTGTGACTGAAGACGCAATACGGTGGGTATGGATTCAATCGACATGAATCGATCGAAACCGATTCGATCGATATGAATCGACCGACACCGATTCGATCGACAAATTTTTAAAAAACCAGTGTCGACTCGATCGAAAAACAAAAACACGTGAATGGATCGACGTGAATCAATCGACACCGATTCGATCAACAGTTAATTTTAAAAAAAACTGTGTTGAATCGATCTAAAAATGAAAACATGAATCAATCGACAAGGTTTTTTTTTTAAATTAACTGTCAATCGTATCGGAGTCGATTGACTCACATCGATCGATTCACGTTTCTGTTTTTCGATCGAATCGACACCAGTTTTTTCACTAATCTGTCGATCGATTCATGTCGATCGATTCACGTTTTCATTTCCGATCGATTCATGTCGATCGAATCCATACCCTCTCGCAATACTGTCATTGCGATTCTAAAACCCTGACCACGGCTGCGACAATCGTCCGCTACAACCTGTATCATCGCCTACTGTGCGTGCTACGTTGACCGTTTCACGTGAATCGGCGCGTCGATTGTAATTAACATCGCAATAATTATTTCCAATGATCTCATCCTCACGATTATGCGTTGTGTCCGACGACCGTCCGCGCGGACCTCCCGTGGAATTTTCAAGTCGGTTACCCCGTGGCACTTGGCAGCGCTGTCACCTCCACGCTGATCGCTCACTATCCTCTCATAGAAATCGAAACCCTACTTACGTTCAGTTCGAAAATCCACCAGTGAAGTGCACCATCTCGCTCGACGTAGACCCTCTAACTGCCGTGTCATCTCAACAAGTCCAGTATGTTCCTTCTATTTTTACCATTTATATTTCGATGGCTGAAGTGAAAAACCACGTATCTCCATTGCAGGGTTTCAAAATTTCTACTCCACTTTTTTTTTTTCGAAGACTGATGAGCCAACTTTCCAGCTTGAAATTTGTACAGAATATTCTACTGTCAGAGAAGAAAATCAAAGAAGTTTTGCCGAAATTACATTGACTAGTCCAAAAAAAAAAAAAAAAATTAAAAAAAAAAAAAAAAAAAAAAAAAAAAAAAAAATAAAAATAAAAGTCCGACAGGAAGTCCGCAACATCGCAAACGGACATACGTGGTTTCGCACTTCGGCCATCGATTTGTGGCGTATTACCTAGAGTTTCGTTCGCCTCTTGACCATTAATAAGTTAAAATTGCCTTTTTAAAGTAGGTACCCACTCTTTTTGAACTCTTTTTAGAGCTGTTTTTGGGTCCACGTGCGAACCGAATTTTTCCTCCTTTCTTTCTACTGTCGTAGTTAAGAGTACCAATGGCTTTTAACTTTTAAAGGGGGCTGCGCGCTGCAAGGATTTTGTTTCCCGCGTAAATTTTTAGTGTATGACCCCTTTTGAAGAGGCAAGCGGGAAAGTAGCTTAACCCCCCCCCCCCCCCTTTTAAGCAGAATTACACATTTATTCCTGCAATTTTGATCAGTCTCATGTTTCTAACATTTTGAGAGGGGCGCCGACCCCCCCCCCTCCGTTCCTCTACGCGTCTAGGCGCCTCTCTGCACAAATTAAGCCTAATAGTCGCTGCGCGATGAATGTATCTAAATTGGCGTTACTACTGATTTTGTGTTTGACCGTGCCAAAACAAAAAGAAAGAGGGAAAAATTCACCGGTTGGGTTGGTATGCGTTATGATGTGATCCGCCCTCCGTTAGCACAAGAAAAAAATGAGGAATAAGACAAAAAAAAATATGAATACTTGAACAATTCTTAATTTCACTTCAATTCGCTCGCATAACATTGTGTGTCTCACAACGAGCGTTACCCAATTTTGAGAAAGAGAAAGAAGTATTTCATGCAATGAAGAATGCGTTACGTGGGCGGGCGGGCTGGTGGGAGGGGGGATTGCAGTAAAAAGGATTGCGTTGCACGGTGTAAGTAAGTTTGGCTACACGATGCACCGAAGATTTCCTCGCAAATTGAGGGTGTTACACACGGGAGGGATGAGGCGCCCAAAAGTGAGGCTCTGCTGCGCGCGCACGTCGCATGTTTGGATTGTAATTTCGCGGCAGATTCGAACCCAAGGGGCGAGTTCCATAATACATTCTTCTCAAATGCACAGTATTAAAGTAAAAAAAGTCCAGAGTTTTAATCACGATTACTTTAATTAAATTTAACCTCTCGTAAATCCATACGTAAAAAGGGTTTCCTTCTCCGTAAATTTTAACAGTTTTATAGTGAGTTTAGTGATTAAAATTTACAATTTTTAGGAGATTTTTTAAAGTTCTTACTACAAGGGAATGTCTTGGCGAAGATTCTTTACTTTAACTCGCTTGCTCTTGACTTTCACATGGATGAAGCTAGCAGAACTTTTCGTGGAAGGGAGGGGGAGGATACGCTCCCAGGTCGCTCCCTCAAAAAAAGAAGAAAAACCGCAACAATGATGCTGTGGGATGTTTCTTTTGGGGGGGGGGGGGAGCCTCTCGAGAAGGACTGGGCAGTGGGCTCCTCTGATGCCAGCTTTGCTCTCTCTCTCTGATATTTTGGTACCCTGCTACGAAATTTCTTTTCCATTTTACTGTTAGCCTTTCATCCTTACTGCTACACGAATTGTTAATTTGAGAGAATAAGATTGAAGGAAATTCATTTGTGAGCTGTCTGGAAAAGAGAATTGGACGTATTTATGCTACAAGGAAATATGTGCAAATGAGTGAAAGCAAAAAGATTAGTGTAGCTTGTGAGCCCTATGCACATAGATCCTCTTGATTCGATTTATTTTCGCATAATTCTTCTCAGCATAAATACGTTCAATTTTATTTTAGCACTTTCTCGTCTCTTTTCTAAATCCTTAAGCTTCAAAAATCTCAAACAATATTTCCTCGATAAAAGCAATAGGTACCTGCACCCGCTATAATTATGATTATAGGCATAAGTCTATTGCTATAGCGTACCTACATTTAGAAACACATAGGTACCTACCTCAATTACTAAGTTTAATAATGTATGTGTCTCCTGAGTATCTTTGCAGAAAAACACCATTGTTACTGTCTGAAATTTTTACAGGATATTCTTTCTGTCTTGAAGAGAAATCAACGGAAATTAAAAGAGAAAACTGGGATCATTTCTCCTTAGAAAAAATAAACATGTTGGAAAATGACTAACGTCTTGAATCCAAAATGCATGTTTTTGGACTTAGGCCATCAGTGTGCTCAAGAAGCAGTATTCTGATTAAGTGATGATTAAAGTATTAATGGCAATATTTGTTGAATTCGTAATTTGTATGAATTATTACATTTTGAATTTTTTACTTAGAAAAATCTTTGACTCGGTTTGTTTTGTCCTCCACGGTAGCTTCTGATTCATTTTTGGACCTTTGAGTATAAATTAAGTGTTTGTAAAGCACTGATTGGCCTAAAACATATTATTTTAACGAAAGTATTAGCAAACCCCCAGAGTTTGCTTTAACACATTTCAATATAATCGCAAAAAGAAGGATATAAGCCTGACAAATAATGTAATTCTTCAAAATGCAGACATTATTTTACTCTAAAAAAGTAGACATAAATCCAGTGAATAAAAGCTACCGTTGTCATGAGGGGAAAAAGGAAATAGGAATTGATTAAAAACTGTATCTTTTTTGTTTTCATGTATTTTTTTAAAGAGGAAACAGAAAAAGGTGACCAAAAATTAACATTAAAGTCTATCAGGAACAGTAAAACATTAGGTCAATGTTGAATAAAAACAAGAAAAGGATACAAGAACCGTACTAGAATTCCGTGCTGGGGTAGGGATCGCGACGGGATGAATGGACCAGATCCCAGATCTGGGTTTCACAACACAAACACAAGTGCGTCCCATGCGACGTGCGCGCGCAGCAGAGCCTCACTTTTGGGCGCCTCATCCCTCCCGTGTGTGGCACCCGCAAATTGACACCAGGAGAACCATAGGCAGTTTAAAAAATTGAGTAATGATCCATAATTTATCCATAAAATAAACTTGTATGTAGCGAAACGAGCCGGTAACTTTACCATCACGTTGGTAATGAATTTCAGCAGTGCAGTTTCACACTTTTCAACTTGGTAACACTCACTGATGTAAACAAAGACTTTTCAGGTTATGTTGAGCTTGAGCTTGAGGTTATGTTGACAATTTTTACCAAGTGCAGAGCACGCATAGAGAAAAAAAAGGAGGTGTTTGCATTTCGGGCATCTTGGAGTATTTTGATGACTTGATGACGTAGGTGGGTACAGCTGGGTACAGGGACGTCCCCTTCACACTGTACCCACCTACGTCATCAAGTCATCAAAAAATTCCAAGATGCCCGAAATGCAAACACCTCCTTTTTTTTCTCTATGCAGAGCACGTGTGTTTCGAATTTTTGCGTGTGCATTCTTCAATTTTGATTTTTCTGGGAGATCGAAACCGATCAACTATCTTCCAACATATTTTTCTTAGAATTCAGTAGTTAGTAGCTCCACATACAATTATAGTTTAGAGGATCCTTTGGTAAGTCAATGCATGTGCCTGTTTTCTTAGACCATGTGGACCTGTGGACTTGAAACAGGTGGCTCTTCTAGTTCATTTTCAACCCTCAATCATGGCAATGTTTGCAAACTTTTTAGGTGATTTTTCCTTTATGTGATTTCCACATCGATTAGGTTCGTCTAAGCAAATCTTAACTGAAGTGAAGTTCGCACAAAATTAGCAGGCCAACTATTAAATCGCGACAGAGAACCTACTGTCCATGATGTAACATCTGACTAAAGTACCTGATCAGAAGAGATAGTAAATCTCTAAAGAAATAGTGAAAATGCCACATTTATGTTCTAGATTTTTACTTTTTCTCAAGCAAAATGTTATGTTACACAAAAACCACCCGATATTAGCTTTCATACTGGCAGAAGGACTGCATAAGACCAAGGAAACTCATCATAAAAATATTAAGCACAAAATTTTTCTCCCTTATCACAAAAATTTGTTTTTTAAAGACATTCAAAATTTAAGCGGGAGGTAAATACAATATTTTTGTGAGAGACAAAGTCAGACTTGTTAATTTTCTTCTAATTCTTTAATTTGAAGTTACTTTGCAAATGTTTCAGGCACAATGGCCACGAATGGTAACGTAACGTTTTCACCTTTCACTCAAAGCATTGATCCAGGATTTTCAACGCGAGCCATCCACGATGGTCAAGATCCATTTCAGTGGCCATCAGCCTGTGTTGTAACTCCAATTGTAACAGCAACTACTTTCAAACAAAAAGCTCCTGGAGTTCATCAGGTTAGTACTGGTAACTACGATAATAACCCTGTAATATTATAAAAATCCTTGTTAACATGCCCTGCCGTTGTCTCCAGAGTTGAATGAAAAATTTCTGCTGGTACGAAGATTGGAAAATTCTACATCACTGAGCATTAGCCATGCTCATCAGCACTTTAAGGTGCCTGGCATGACATGACAGTCAAATTGTGTGACAGTCCATTCAACAGAAAGGCATAGCAAAATGTGTGATCCAAACTGAAACTTTGTACCTAATCAAAGATACCTAGTTTAGACAAATATTTCTTATAAAAAAACACAAAAACGACAAAACTTAATTGGCAATAATGATGCATGTAATCTTGTTAAAATTTAATTACTGCATCAATAGATATTCTAAATTTCTGCATCAATAGATATTCTAAATTTCTGCATCAATAGATATTCTAAATTTCCATTTTTTTGCAGCCTTTCCTCACACTAAATTGTGCTTATTTAGTTTTTTCAACCGACAAATTTGCCAGAGTGTCTATAGGTCTGGAAAACAGGGAATATTATCAGGTCCATGAAAAAATTAGGGAATTTCATGAAAAAGACCAGTTTGAAAAATTTTGAGACTTGAAATCTGAAAATGTATTTGAGTCATCTACACAATTAACTTGTGTTTCAATCTGGTTTGGAGTTCAATGCTCTGAATTCCACTCCAAATAGTGAACAGGGGAATTAGTTTCAATAAGGAATTGCTATTTCAATTCATTGAATGATCGGTAGGTACCTGAACAAAAAAGATTGTATGTTTCTGTCATTTGCTGTCAAATGGACGATGAGAAAAGTCAGGGAAAACCTGAAAATGTCAGGGATTTTTTCTCGCCAAGTCTATAAATGTTTACGGTGTACTCTGTTTCTGGTTTCAACCAAGAGAATCTGCATATGAGGGTCCTTTTTTGTGATTTTAAAATTTCTATATTATTGAAAAACTTGTTTTCCAGGGTTTTGAATATGGCAGAAGTGGTAACCCAACAAGAAATGTTTTGGAATCTATCATCGCCTCCCTTGACAAAGGAAAGTACTGCCAAGCATTTCCCTCCGGGCTTGGAGCAACGACGTCCGTTATCAATGCTCTCCTCAAAGCTGGGGACCACATTATTTGCTGTGATGATGTTTATGGTGGTGTAAATAGGTATTTTAACAAAATTGTGGCTAAGTACGGCATTAAATCAGATTTCATCGATTTGACGAATGCAGCCGAGTTGGAGAAAACATTGAAGCCGGAAACAAAGGTAAGTTGCGAGGGGCCATATAGTTTTACACTCTTTTTCAGACATTAAAATCAATGAATTCAGAAACGAACTTGAATTTTTTTTGACTGGAAGACTGAAGAATTATTATGCGACACATGTGATGACCTTGTGAAATCTCGGCAACTTAGCATGCAAAAACGGGGCACATGAACATGATCCATGATGTCCCGAATAATAATGTCAACGGAAATCTCAAGGGCAATAAGAGTCATCTCTAGTTTGGTCAGGGGCTTGCAGATAGCGCATTGTAAAAATGGAGACTTCCCAAACAAGCGAATCATAAGTGTCAGCTACTATGGGTCAGCATTCCAATGCCCTAATAAGTCAGTGTGTTTTAAATCTTGAAGAAAAGTTATTCAAATGTACCAAAGAATAAGTCTCCTTCACCATCTGACTATCATTTTTGCCCCACAGACCCCCGCTGACTCTCCAAGTGCGATGAAATTTTTTGCTGGCTGCATGAGCTCCCATGCAAAATCTTGAGAGAAAAGTGTGTCTAAGTAAGCCATGCATGAAAAGTGAGATGTTCTCCATTGAAAAGTAAACAAAAAAAAACCTGTTTGAAGAATTAGAGTACGCAGGCAAATCATAATTTTTCAATTAAGATCAGAATGAGAGTGTAAAATCTCAATACACCCTCTTCATGAACGTTAATCTGCTAAAGTATTAATTTTTATCTCGTCTCATTGGAAAGATTGAGAGTTATTCATCATATGATCACAGGCTGAGTGGATTAAGTTACCTCTTTGAGTAGGCACACTTGAAATGCATTATATACTGCATGTAACTTTTTAAAACGGATGAAACATTTTTCCTGCGTGGTATTTTACAAATTTGATTATTTTTTCCTCGCATTTTTACGTAAACCTTCTTCATTCTGTCTATCAATCTTGCTCGAATGCTAATCCACAAGATTTTTAATACCCTACTTAATCCAAATATTGACACTGCAAAGCAGGCTCACTTCTGAGACACTTATCATCAAAATGGATCAGTTTGTTTGCTCTTGATTTGTTACAAAACAGAATTAATTCTTTGTTCTTCTTACTTCTTATAGCTGTCATGTTCAATTTGACAAGCGGCAACACTTGTGTGTCATATGATGCAACAGATCGTTAAAAGTAATCATATATCGAAATACCTTTTCATTTGACCAGAGTCAACCTAACTACATCAGAGGTTGCCTGATTTCCTCTGATGTTTTATTTTTTAAACAGGAGGCTAAGCATCACTGAAAATTGAAGTTTTGTGCGTACGTTCCTCATAATCTATTGTGAATTCACATAAAAATCAAAGGTGTGAATTAGTTTAGCTCCCAATAAAAAAGAATAAGACATGAAAGAAAATAGGCCACATGAACTGCAGTCTAGTTGATTCCAATTTGTTTGAAAAGAAGTTCTTTTTTATCTAAAAAAAAAAATTTGCAGTCCCTAAAATCTAAAAATAGAACTTACGTCTATCACTGTTTAAGTCTGGTCGATCTAATCAATGCGCATACCATGCTCATTGATGAAAGAATAATTTATTCAATCGAAGCACCCAGTCGTGAATTCATCAATAATTTAAGGAAATGCTAGAGCTGAGGTTTGGTGATCTCATTTTCATGATAGGCATTGTTTCTCTCTTTTTTCAATCTGGTAATCGGTCATGAATATTTTCTTTTTTTTTATTCCCCTCCATTGATGACATTTTTGCTTGACATTTTTAATTATTACTATCAGGAGCTTCATTTGATGTCGGGAAGCAGAATGATTTACAGGATATAGATTTAGTCCATCCGAGGGTGCAGAAAGTTCTTAGCCCTCCCCAAAATTTGCGGAAAGTCTTCCCCAATTTTGACAAATTTTTACAGCCTTCCGCACTTTTCACAGTCTTCCACAGCCTTCTCCAATTCTCACGCGATCATGATCTTGTGTTCAAGAACATTCTGCACCCCTGAGTCCATCAATAACTTTTATAAATATGTATTTTCCATCATAATGCTGCAAAAATTTCAAAAACACTTCTACAGGGTGTCCCAGACCCTCTCGCACCAGGCTTTTACTTGGTTACTCCAGGTAGGATGAAGTAGGGGATGTCTGGCAGTAATAGGATATTGACCCCAAGGAATCTATGTCTCATAAACCCGGAAACCCCCCCCCCCCGACCCCCTCTTGGTAGGTAAAAGAAGTGGTTCTCACTTCTTAAGTCAGAGTTTATAACAAAATTTTGAAATCATTCCATCGAAATCAGAGAAAACGGATAGTTTTAACTGAAATCGACACCAAGCAATGTAAAATCGGCATATTCGTATCTGAAATTGTGACCCCGAAAGTAAGAGACAGAGCCTTCCCCCTCCACCCCCCCCCCCAAATGCTTGTTTGCTAAAGTGACGCAGAAGCTCGAAAAAAGCATGGTTTCATGGGTAATCAACCCCGAGGAATCTGAATTTAATGATCCTGCAACCCCCCGAGGCTTTGCCAATGGGGTGTAGGAGGGATATTTTACTCGTAAATTTAACCCGTTTAAAATCTTCCCTTCGTTAAAGTATATAACAGGATTTTTCAGGCTACAAGCGTACTTGTCTCAATTAAAAAACTTGACTAAGGTAAGGATGGTTTACAAGTAGCTGCCTCAAGAACTATTAAGATAAATACATCCACTTTCAGATAAAAAGTGGATTAAAATAGGCACTTCAGGTTGTAAAAAAGTTTTAAAACGTTATTGAAAGTGGCTCAGCACGTGCAACCCAATTATTTACCATTCCCTCTTCTTTTGGGGATCATGAATTGCATCAGAAATAGCTAAATGAAAATCAGCAAAATTAATCAACTCTGCTTCTAGGCTTATTTCAGGCACAAACAATGCTCTATTTAATTCCCTGTGCCTAGTTTATTTCTGATAAACTTTGTCTGGTTACATGTATATTTATCTCCATACCATGTAGAAACTCTTGTGTGAATACATATTTAAGCGCTGCTTTTTCAGCGCTCTCTGACGCTCTGCAACTCCTAACCGCCACAGGACTGTAAGGAGTGGGACTTTCTCATTATCTACGTTTATTACCTCCTGCCGCCATCTTTTCACTGGGCTTCCCCTTTGTCTTTTTCTAGGAGGAACTCAATAAGGCATCCTCTTCAGCAGCTTTTCTTCAGTCATCCTTTTTTTGCGAAAAGTTGTTGAATTGCATACTGCATCTATTTATCATGTTAAAGATTATAGGTAGGTTGCCAAAAATGCATCGTATCAAGATGCATAAAAATTAATTACTAATGCATTTTGGGGTTTTCCCAATCATCAAAGCATTACATAGTATAAATCAACTTTGTTTTTTAAAAACGTAACATAAAATGTAGCATATAAGGATTTAATCCATCTTTATGATGATCTGATGATGGGGTAGACCCTGAAATGCATTAATAACTAATTTTTATATATCTTAATGAAATGCATCTTTGGCTAACTATCTGAATATTCTTCATCCTGTTTACATGACCATGCTAGACTGATTGGCTGTTCGGTCTTGAAACAAATATTATGTCATTTTAGACTTCTATGATCTGACGCACTCCATCATTTGTGTAAGAAACTTTCATCAAATTTTAAATGAAATGAATCAAAATGAAAAAATGAATTAATTGCAGTTGCATAAAATCAATTGAGTCAAATTTAAATCAAATTTTTCATCCAAATTCAATTTCTTGTCTTTTGTCTCAGATGCTGTGGATGGAAAGCCCAACGAATCCATTAATGAAAGTGATGGATCTACCCAAATTGGCAAAAATTGCTAAAGCGTATAACAAAGATATCATAATCGTTGCTGATAATACTTTCTTAACTTCCTATTTTTGTGTGAGTATATTGTGTTTTGTGATGTGATCAGTTGCTTCTCCCAATATTGTTTCCTTTAAAAAAATATTTTATGAAATTTTAATCTCATGCTCTCACAGGCAATTCATATTTTTCTGGGTCCTTAGAATTTTTAAGAATTATTCCTCCTTTCATTGAAACTTAGGAGAATAGAAAATAATCCAGTCACTTTTGACTCTCAAAATTTCAATTAAAGCCATAAGTTTATTGAGTATAAGTAGTGTTTCTGGAATTTAAGGTTTAGCTATGCATTTCTGTGAAAAATATTGCGAAAAAATGATGCCTCTAATTTTATTCAAATGTAACACTGAAGCCAAGGAAAACCTATCAAAATAACGGCTTTAATATTAGTACAGAGCATTGTCATAGGAGAGTTCCCTACTAAATACTAAGCGCACAGAACCAAGAAATTCAGCGCTGCCTAATTTTTTTTTCTTCTTTTTATATGATGTCGCTTGCGATTGCCTGAGCACCAGAAGCTTCCAAAATCAAACTTTCTATTTTTCAATCTTGAGAACTGTATAGTGGAATAGCTACCATCTTTTGTTCAAACGACTTTAGTTTTAAAATATGAAAAGTTATAGGCAACAATTTTTGGTAAAGATTCTCATGTTTAATCATCTTGTTTGCAGAGGCCACTAGAATTAGGTGCAGATATTGTACTGTATTCATTGACGAAGTACATGAATGGACATTCAGACGTCTTGATGGGTGCATGTGTCACTAACAGTCCAGAATTAGAAGAAAAATTAAGATTTGTGCAAAATGGTAAATCTTTGTGTTATCATTTTAATCAACCTTTCATTTTCCAAAAGTCTTGTGCACACCTATGTCCCAAGTTCAAACTTCAATCTGTAAATAGAGCAAGTAATGATTTTAGGAGTGTGTTTCAAACAAAATACTTTCTAACTTTCCAACACTCTCCAAAGGAAAATTGCAAAACTCAATGACAGTGTGACTCAGTGGAAAGTAAAAGTAGGAAAGCACAAGTAAAATATAAAAGAAGAACTAAGAAAGATAAGAGGAGGACCACAATGAAATGCAAAGAAAGTGTAGTATAGAAAATACTGCTGTCCAAAGCAAAAATGCCGTAATTCCATTCTAAATATTTTCGTCAAAAAAACAATTAATCACAAGGAAAACAATGAGCATGCATACATTACATTTTTTAAGAATGACAACGTGCTATTGGAAGGTCAGTTTGAAAAAGTGGCAATGAAAGTTTTTGTATAAGAAAGCAGCATGTGTGACTGCGAAATGCAAGAACTGGAATGAAGTTACAGTATTTTTGCTTTGGAAGCTAGATGATGGATTCTATTACACCAGTTACATTTGAAGAATCTTGTCTAAAACATCACCACAGTGGAAAATTCTGTAAGAATACATGAGAAAATTTTGATGAAGCATGTTTTTGAATTTCATGATTCAGGTATCTTCATGTTTGCTCAAATTGTTTAATTTTTTATCCTTGTCATTACAGCTTGTGGTATAATTCCTAACCCATTCGACTGCTATCTAGTCTCCCGCAGTTTGAAAACTCTCAGCGTTCGAATGGAGAAACATATGACAAATGGTTTAGCTGTAGGAAAATACTTAGAAACACATCCAATGGTTGAACAAGTTTACCATCCAGGTAAAGGCACCAACATTATAAATGTTTAACGCTAGACTTTTACATTTAAGAGAAAGCAGTATGAAGATTTGCAGCAATTGATAAAGTCTATCATGTCTCAGCAAACTGTAGTTAAACGTAGTGAAACTTTTTTGACTTGAAAACTCATTTAACTTGCTTTTAGCGTAAAGATAGCAATGCCAATGATGAACAAGGAGGTTTCAAGTAAAAAAAGTTTCAAGAAGCATCTCAAAATATAAGCATAGAAGATGAAATTCTCAGCCGGTAGGATGCAAGTTCGCAACTTTGGCTTGACGCCAACTCCCACCTAACCAGTCGAATATCCTTGCGTCATTTGAAGTTTAACTTGCACATGCTGTTAATTTTTTCTTCTTCTTTACTTGTGATTCTTCCCTTATTCAGAGTGTAAATCAGGCCTGGGAGTCTATCCTCTCTTCTAGTTCTAACTTGTAAATAAACTCATTTGAAGAGAAAAAAAGGAATAGAATGGGTCTGTTGCGCGGGTCGCAGAATCGTGTTATGATGCTTGATTCTCGTAGATTAGCTGAAAGTAATAAGATCGTCCGAACCGCAACTTTCTACGTTAAATATTAACGGAGATATCGCCCTTTGAAAAGTCAGATTTTTGACAACATCCACTGCGGCAGTGACACCCCTGGTTTCTTCCTCAGTTGTTCAATCAGTGATGCAGAGGGTGCAATGCAAAACTTCAGCGACGTTAAACATAAACAAACTGTTGTGAACTGGCTGATTGCCTAATCTCTTTGCGGCAAGCACACTATCTCCTAATAAGGTGATCTTTAAAGTGCGAAACTGTCTGTTTCTTGAGTTTGTTTACATTTCATGTCATTGAAGTTTTGCGTTGCACCCTCTGCATCACTGATCGAACAAAAGAGGAAGAAACCAAGGGTGTCTCTGCCACGGTGGATGTTGTCAAAAATCTGGCTTTTTAAAGGGGCGATATCTCCGTTTATATTGAACGTAGAAAATTGCAGTTTGGACAGATCTAATTATTTTTTGCTAATCTACAAGAATCAAGCATCAAAACACGATTCTGTGACCAGCGCAACTGACCCATTCTGAAATCCCTAAGTTTTTCATAGTAAAACATGGACCCCCCCCCCCCCCCCCCNCCCCCCCCCACCCATACCAATCACACATGACAAACTTGTAGCTCATTGTTTTTAAGTCTCATTTCCAAATTTTGTTTCAATTGTTATGAAGATTTGATCAAGCACAGTATTTAATGCTTTTAATTGAAAAAATTTAGGGCTTCCATCCCACCCGCAACATGCTATTGCCAAAGCGCTATGGAGTGGCTGCAGTGGTATGCTCTCACTCTACCTTAAAGGTGGCTTGGAACAGAGTAACGCTTTCTTGTCAGCTTTGAAAGTTTTTATTCTAGCTGAAAGTCTTGGAGGTTATGAAAGTTTGGCAGATTTACCGTAAGTTAAATTTTCATTCTTATTACATAATGAATATTTTTTGTACCTAAAATGTATGTTACTAAAAAAAGGAAGAAAAGTAAAAGTCTTAAAGTGGAAGTCATAGTTCACAAGAAAACTTTTTCTTATCTGAGAGATTCCTCAATGGTTAAATGATCATTTTCAAACATTGGCAATCTCATTATGTAACAGTCAAATTTTATTTTTAGATTTTTTTTTATCTTTTCTCTTAGAAAGAAGAAGAATACTTGTCGGACTTTTAAAGCCATGGAACTTACAAACTTTTCAAAATTTCTTACAAAAAAATAAGATTTAAATTTTGAAAACTTAGGAAAATTGGTATCTAAAATTTATCCTACATAGTAACACATAATATTATATCTACATAATATTCAACATAGTCAAATCAAAATAACTTCATGTAATTGGATCAAAACTGTACTTAAAAGCTTTTGAGTTTTTTAAGGAACATCGAAGAATTTTTATGTTTAAAATTAAAGTATGAAAGTAATACAACAAAGTCCTATTCCTGAAAGTATCATTGTGGAAAGTATAACCCCCTTCCTCGCCGAAAGGAACATATCATTAGGGAATCTAGAAAAAGATGCCCTTTGAATCAGTGGCAAGGCGTGAATGATCGGTTATCGATATTTCTCCATTTGAAGCTATGGTAAAGAATCTATTATTAAGGTATTCGTTGCGAACACCCTGTTTATCTGTCTTTTTCCATAGGTTTAAATGGCAGATCAATGGATATATTGCCAAGCACACCACGTCACTGCTTAGAATGCTGCGCTTCAAAATTCTTGTCCATTCTTTAAGCTTTCAATAGAATATTTTTTCATGAAATTTTCAGAAAACACTCTCGAGAAAGCCAAAAAAGCCGCACGCATTTTCCTGCAATTTACTAAAAAAGAAAAATATGGAAAAGATTTACCTAGCGGCAAAATAAGTTACCGGTTTTTCTAATTCCACTATCGAAGTAGGAATTAATTTAGAAGTGTAATATTTTTGCTCCTCCCCAATATTGCCATGTTTTTTTCTTCTTTTGTATCCTCCGTCCAAAGTAATGATTTTTGATGGTATATTTCCAGATTGATAATGATAATTATGAAATAATTATATATTATAATTATTTAATAATTATTAAATATGATTATTTAATAATTATTAAATATGATTATTTAATAATTATTTATTAATTATTTATGATAATTATAATGATAATAATGATTGATAATTTTTTTTCCAGATTGATAATGACGCATGCTTCCGTACCTCCCGAAGACAGAGTGAGACTTGGAATCAACGAAAGTCTAATTAGGTTGTCTGTCGGTCTTGAGTCTGAGATCGACTTAATCGCTGATTTGGAGCAAGCTTTGAAGATTGCTGAAAAAACTATGAAGAAAAAATAAGAATTGACCCAGTGTGCTAATTTGTTTGTGAAGAACGCAACTCCATCCAATCTCTTCTTCAATTTCTGATTATGTCTTCCCCTCATGACAGTCAATAATGTGTCTATTTTTGTCTTAATTCAATTCATCATGACTTCCCCCCAACTCAGAACTTAGGAATTTCTTCTGTTCAATTTATCGTTTACATTGTTATGATAAGGGTACCTGAATGTGCAATTACACTGAATAGAAATTTATTCGAAAATTGGATGAATCCGCCTCCAGATTAGATTGCTAATCCGAATCTGTGCCAAATCCAGATTACATAAATTTAATCTCACTAAATATAATTTTGGAGCTACCTGTGTTCCTCTGAACTTTGAAGTTCTTTGCGAGCCAATACAAGATATAAAGTTGTGCCAAAATTAATTTTTGAGGTTAAAATTGTCTAACGAACATAATTGGGTCTTTTGGGATTGCTCATAAATTACGGAATGCATTCACAGTAGGAGTCTAAAGCTTTGTTGAGGGGAGGAAGGTTACTTTTATTAGTGTGAAGTAGCACTCAAAAAAATACGTTTGAACATTTTTTTGTCAAACAACCAACAATAACTTGGAACTGGTAATGTAATTTACAAGGGTTGCTTTACCAAAGGGACAAAAAAACTGAAGAATAAGCTGGAAGTACATATTACGTTTATTTATGAGCAGCCCCTTTAAGAAAAATTCTCAAATGCCCTTCTTATTTTGTTACCATTATTATTATTTTTTTAATGAAGATCCTTGATTTGAAAAAGGAACCATGCTGCTCGCTTTACTTTAGTATTATTCTTTAAGTGGTGTGTTCTCTCTTTAAAAGCTCTCTCTAAATTGTGAATTGAATCAGTTGGTGCATGAACGACAAATCTTCTTTTTTTTTCAAGAAAATTCTTTTAAATTTGTAATATTCTCACTGCAAGAGTTTTTTCTGCTTACAACTAATTTATCAGATCATTTTCAGAATTTTTTTATAAATTTATGTTTCTTTTTCAACGTACCCTGATGTTTCCATATTTAATTACCTAGCCACCCAAAAAGATGAATATTACGCAGATTTAAGGATGTCTCACAACAAACAAAAATGTAACCTAAAGTTAGGGGAATTGCAATCAAACAAAGGTCATACCACCAATAGTTTTGAATCATTGTCAGCAGCTAAAATACGTCCTTTTGTAATCTTAGATGTTTTTGCTTTTTTTATTTATGAAATTTTAAACTAAAAATAAATGTTTTTTATTTGTTTATTTGTCGTTATTTTTTTTTTATTTTTTTTAAAGTCTCACGAGTAGCACAACGGCCCAGCAACTTCTGTCGGTGCCATCTGAGAGAAAGTGCAAACTACCTACCCCTGAGTGCGTTTTTCCATGATTTGAATCCCAAGATGTGAAAATTCAGTCTAAAAATAAGTAAGAGGCAGCAAGGAGGCAAAGAAAAAATATAACTGGAAGCTTCTTCCTAAATTGTTGTGGGTGAGAATAGGTGCTAAAAATATGAAGAATCTCGACAGTTCTCTCACAAAATTTCAAAACTTATCTTACGCGTCAATCAAGAGTGTTTTGCAATGTTCATTATCATCAATCTCTGCGGTCTCACCTTTTCTGTTTTCATTAGTGACAGAAAAGAACGACATTTCAAAATGTAGGGGACCAATAATGGAGGTAGCCTCTCTACAGTTTGAGAATTAAATGCCATGATAGTATCTCTCGGAGAGCGTCTTTTTACGGAGAAAGGAAGCAAATTTTTAAATAAAAGCAGTGTGATTATAAAACTTCCAGCAAAAAATTTTGCAGGATAATTTGATGATAAAGTGTATTAAAAAAGTTTAGGTTCCTGTGAATTTACAGATGGCTAGAAATAGTACCAACTTTTCCTAAACTCTCTGCAGAAGTGAGGTTCAGGAGGTTTCAAAAGTCACGAGGTGGAACTCATGAAACAAAGAAAAGAACTGCCGAACATCAATGACAACGGAACCCCGGGGACTTCTTAATTTTTCATCCAGGTCGAGTTTAAAAACGAAAGTATGTTACACTATTTTCAAACGCTGTTCATTAACAATAAGTGAAAACAGCATAGATGTCCTGATAAGTCCACTGTGTTGACGGCCGTTTTTTTTTCCCGCGCAATTTTTGTATTCATGAAACTGAATTTGAATTTTGCGCCGACTGAACTCGCGCGAGATGAATGATGGACCTCAACAGCAGCGCGAGCTCAACATGTTTTTTTGAGGTTAGAATTCGCCGCCGTGTTGTTTTTGTATTGTGCAGTTGTGCACTTTTGATTAAACGCTTTTAATCATGGAATACTATTAAATTTCATGGTAGAAAACGCAGTGCAGTGGATTTTCCGTTTCTTGAATATTCCTTTAGGTTTCTCAAATATAGGTTAAAATTTACATCGCCGTATTAGAGGCTCGATCGTTCTTTTCTTGAGGAGCCACAAAGGAGCAATCACATGGTGATTCATAGAGTGATTCACACATCCTAGCAGCAAATTTACTGATTCCTTCAAATACTTCCAGAGTATATTTCAAAAATGGCATCGAAGGTAAGTTATTCTTACTTGTAAAGCCCTCATTTGCAATTGTATCGTGCTCTCTAGAGGTATTCTTAAGTACTCCTACTTCTTTGCTTAAGGGCTTTTTTTATCCGAACCGCAGAGGATCGCCATGGAACGCATCACTTTTTTATTCCGTTCCACCGGCTAGTTCCAGCAGAACGCTTGGACCACTCTTGCAAGGTGGGTTGAACCAGCCCGAACCGCAAAGATCCCAATCCATCGCATTCCACGGATAAAAAAAAGCCCTCTAGAGAACCGTGCCACTCCACAGATCACCTCTTGACCAGCTAGCTTCTTTTTGCTAAAGAACTTGTATATTCTGGCTCTATAGGCCATTCTCCTGGCTATCTCTTAATTCTCTAGTAAACCTAGTGTCAGGTGGCTTTCAAATGTTACTTCAAAGTCAAGCATACAGGTACAGTTAGGTAGATTCGTTATCAAAGCTAACGATACAGTTGAGTCTCTGGCTACTAAATGCACAGTAACAGTTCCAATGACCTCTGGAAATCTTCAAGTGCTATATGCAATGTTGGGCATTCATATGTAAACACCCAAGTCTTTGGGAAACCAGTTCAAATGGATTGCATGTAGCACAGAGGAACCAAGAGCATTCCGTTGTTGCTAGAAGAAAAAAAACTGGGGAGAGAAAAGAATAGACAAAAGTCGCATCAGTCTGAATACATCAATCATCAGTCAGCCCATTGGTTAGCATGTAAATATCTGTTGAATGGTGCAATTGTTGGTTGTGATGATTGTCAATTCTTTTTTCCCCAGTTCTAGGATTACGCAACTTGCATTCTTTGCAAGAAAATACTGAGCTGATGCAAAAATGTAAATTTACAAACGTAGTTTTGTCTTGCATTCATAGCTTCTTGGGAGCAAAGATAAAACTTGTTCAGATGATTAGTTTAAATTTGCAAGGTAAGAAGAGTAGAGGTAAGGACGGGGACGTCCCGTAAAGGGTTGGCGGCAGGGCGTTGACGAAGAGATGTTGCGGTGTCAGTTGCCCGAGAACCTCTGGGAAGACGGGCATATGTGGCGTTTGGGTGTCGTAGAACGCCAGAGTGCGTTGTAAAGCGACTTCATATATATATAAGAAGAGTTGCACAATCTTAGCGACATCGGAATGCTCTTGGTTCCTATTTGCAAAATACAATTCAAATATAGTAGAAAAATTCAAACCGCTTGGCATCAGGTAATTTCATTTCCGTTGCAATTTGCTAATTTTATTGTGTCAATTCTCCAGGATGCAGGTTCTGATACTGACCGCAAAAAGGATAAGGACTGGAGCATAAAAGGATGGAACTGGGGTGCTTGTAAATTCAATGGTCCTATTCTGACATTTGAAGTCGACAAGAAACCATCCTTTGAGATTCCTCTTGACAAAGTATCCCAATGTATGACTGGAAAAAATGAAGTCACGATTGAATTTCATCAGGTGAACTTGCAACTTTAAGTTTTGCGCACTTGTTTATTTGCTTCAATTTGAAAATTTGCACATGAAATCTTTTAGCTGAGTAATTGATCATTTTGAGAAATTGATAAAATTGGTAATATCATAAGTCTTTTTAACCTTGATCTCAGAAGAAAAAAGAGCACTAATAATTTTTTTTTCCTTTTCCTTTCCATCTTCGGTATCTTCAATGTGAAAGTCCAAGTGTTTTAAAGAAATTTTCTAAATGTCTAATCAGATTTCTCGAATTAAGTAACTCAGAGCACCTACAGGCGCTAGTAATCGAGAAGTTGTGCGTTTGTAGTCACTCGATACCTACTTAAGTTCACCACCAAGAAATAGCGCTAAGTACTTGTTTAATACAAAGTACTCTCTACTACAGGTATGGACAAATGAAATTTTAGTAAGTCTTCGAAACGCGTAGATTTGACAGCATCCAATGGTACGGCTGTGATGCCACATTGAAAACCTGTTTACTTTCTGTTCTGAGAGTGGGTCTTGTTAATTCCGTGTTCTTAGTTAAGTTTTTCGTTATTTTGAGTTTTGTCAATTTTTTAAATTCATCTGATAGCTTATTGAAACTACCAGATCTGCCGGAACCTCGGAAGAGGGTCATTTTGAACTGCGTGGCAAAGACAGTATGACTTGCGATGTCACTCGATGGCCTATATTCTCAGCGCTGCCACTTCGGCATCCTGCTTGTCCATATCTGTAGCATAGTGTACCTTGATTCTGTTAACTGATTCTTAAAAAACCTTCAAACAAAAAACAATTGACCTCACAATTTTTGAACTGAGAATATGTTATATTTTCTGCTGACCGATCTACTAAAAGCATAAAATTTTGATTATTCTAGAATGAAGAAGCACCTGTTAGTCTGATGGAAATGAGATTCCACATTCCTCCTGCAGAGTTGGCTGGTGCAGCTGACCCCGTTGAAGAGTTCCATGACCAAGTCATGCAAAAAGCCTCCGTCATCAGTGTGTCTGGCGATGCCATCGCTATTTTCAGAGAAATTCCTTGTGTCACGCCACGGTAAATTTATTGTAGCTTTCATATCAATTTATTCAGAAAGGAGATGAATGCAGAATTTTTCCTGGTCTCTATCTCCTTGATAAAGCTTAGTTCTTTTCTCTGTCGCTTGGTTTATCCTGACTTTGGAACAGATCAATAGGACTGCATTTTGCAATTTGGACCTATAATTTCGGCCCGGTTTAAAAACAACGTATGTACCATTAGTTTCCCTATGCACATAAGTGTTTTTTCAGATGAGCCAGAATGAAAAATCCAGAAAAATGCAGTCCAATAGATCTCCTACAAAATTATACGTGAGATCTCATCCTGGAATGAGGGTTGCCACAGTCAGAGAATACCAGGAAAAGTCAGGGAAAACCTGGAAATGTCAGAGAATAGGACGAAGTGTCAGGGAAAAATTTTTATTTAAATTTTTTTTTTTACTTTCTACAGTAGATTTGACATTTAGAACAAAATATTTTCCCTGGAAACTATTTCAAATCATGTCTTTTTGTCCATATGACATAAATTCAATTGTCAGGGAATTTAACTCAAAAGTGTCAGGGAATTTCATTTCCTAAATTTCGTGGCAACTCTGTGGAAGCACAAATCCCAACAAGAGTCGGAAGTTGTGTTATGCTATTGCAGAGAAAAGGCTGTTTCTGTAAATCAGCTCTGATGAAAATATATTCATATACGTTTCATTAAATATTTTGGAATGAATCACTGCACGTGGACTGAATCTAAGTTCTGTCACACGATTTTTCATCAAATTTTTTTGCAACAAAAGATTCATAAAATGAAAATTTCTTTAATTAAATTTCAAGCAAGCATAACACTGTTGTGCCAAAGAAGAACGCTGTATGAACATTCGAGAGTTGCCAAATTCCCCTTGATAAAACACGTATTTTTGACAACACACATGCATATTTTTCCGTGAAATTTTCAAATATTTTAGATTAAATTGTGTACGAAATTGTCTGAAAATTTTGGAAAATAATAACTACAATTTTTCAAGTAAATTCGGTTGTTATCAGAGGAAACTTGGCAACGTCTGAAGGCTCATAAAACGTTCTGTCCTAGCACGACAGAATAAAGCATGAGCACGTTCTGGTTTTTTTTTTTTTTTTTTTTTTTTTTTTTTTTTTTTTTTTTTTTTGAGCAAAATTTATATTTTTTCAAGTAGGGTTACCAACAGTCTAGAAGACTGGGAAAGTCAAGGAATTCACAGGAAAAGTCAGGGAATTTTGTGAGGTGCTTTAAGCATAATTGAGTGTAATTTAAATGGAAAAAAATCAAAGTGGAAGTTTTATTGAAGTGTCAAGGAAAATCAGGGAGTCAGAAAATTTTGAAGTCAGGGTTTTTGAAGGTGAAGAAATTATGGCAACCCTATTCAAGTGACACCTAGAAATTGGGGATGATCTGAGAAATTTCCTAAATGAATTCATGCCCTCAAATTTTGAAAATTGTAACCTTTTTGTAAGAGATTCTCCTTCATTTTGTTTTTCAGTGGTCGCTATGATATTAAAATGTTCCAAACCTTCTTTCAACTCCACGGTAAAACCTTTGATTATAAAATTCCAATGACAACAGTACAAAGACTGTTCTTATTACCTCATAAAGATGGTCGACAAAAGTTTTTTGTGGTAAGTAGACTCTATTTCTTTCTCATTCTCTCTGGAAGAAATGCTATCTTAAATTAATTTACCAGCGATGACTGTAAATTTTTTCAGTGAAAACTCTGTAAAATATTCCAATCATAATTTTAAATCTGTTTCCATTTGCTCACTACTTCTTTACTCCTCCATTACTAGGTATCTTCAAAGTAATGGTAAACTTTTAAAAAATCAGTCAAAGTTTTGTGAAAGTGAAGATGAAGCAGCCATATGAAAGGCATCAATCATGGTAATTTTACAATTCCCTTTTATTGCCGAGCCATACTTATATTCTGCGTAACTGACTATTGCATCATTCTTTCTCAGGTCAGCTTGGATCCTCCAATTAAACAAGGTCAAACCCGCTATCCTTTCATTGTATTTACTTTCAACTCTGATGATGAAGAAATCTCTATAGAGCTCCCTCTCTCAGAAGAAGAACTGAAAGAAAAGTATGATGGGAAACTCTCTAAAGAGTTGAGTGGTCAAACTTACGATGTTCTGGGCTCAATAATGAAAGTCATGACCAATACGAAGATCACTGTTCCGGGCAATTTTATTGGCGCCTCAGGCACCCCAGCAGTTGGCTGTTCGTACAAAGCTGCGGCAGGGTATCTGTATCCATTGGAGCGCGGTTTCATGTTCGTCCACAAACCGCCTATGCATATTCGCTTTGAAGAAATAAGCAGTGTTAATTTCGCCCGTGGGGCTGGGAGCATGACCAGGTACGCTCTCTTTAATTTGTATCATCAAACTCATTTGATGCGTCTTGAATCATTTAGTAAAACTGAGATGGAGTTGGAGATGCATTCCGCGAAAAGAAGCTAAGTGTTTCTGTCAATTAATAGGCCTCACCTTAATTGGTTGGCAAATTCTCTGTAAGAGTTAATCCATTCAAATTCAATTCATAAAATTCGGCCTTTTTTGACAATATTGGCCAAAAAAAAGTTAGCAACCATCCTCCAGGTATTTCACTGAAATTTAACGGTTCCTTCTTGCCCTCAATTTTTTCACAGGAAAGTTTCAGTATGGCTCATCTGGTTTTTAATCTTTTGCAGGTCTTTTGATTTTGAAGTATCTCTCAAATCTGGTTGGGTTCACACATTTAGTAGCATTGATAAGGGAGAATATGGAAAGCTGTTCGACTATGTATCCACCAAAAAATTAGTCGTGAAAGACTCTAGCAAAGGAGTAAGTTATTTCCAATATTTTAATTTACTAAAACTCTTCAAGCAATGAGTGTAATGATTTTTGTTTTTAAGTCTTGATCAGTTTCATACATCAATGGGTGTTCAAAATGTGTAATTTAATCGCAATGTTCAAAAATCTCTGATTATGTTTTATGTGAACGCGGTTTCATGTGTTGATGGTTTTTTGTGATCTTTCCAGGCAAAAGTTTCATACAAAGAAAGTATGGATGATAGCGGAGATGAAGGTGAGCCAGATGCATACTTGGCGCGTGTCAAACGTGAAGCCAAAGAACGCGATGATGATGGTGATGACGACGATGAAAGTGATGATGAAGATTTCAATCCTGGTGAAGAAGGAAGTGATGTTGCGGAAGAGTAAGTTTTCTTTGTCTGTATTTTTCATATAAGAACAAACTTTTCTAATTTCCTAGGCCTAATGACAGGAAAAAAGTACTGGCAGTTTACGACAAATTTCTCTTTCAGTTGTGCTGTGCAGGGCAGCACTATCCATCAGAATTCAGACGTACAGGCTGTCTACCGTTTAAATATTGACCTTAAAATATAACCCCAAAAAAGTATATAACCTGACAATATCAAGGAATACAAATTAGGAAATTCATTAGGGCAAATCAGGAAAATCGGTCCTAAATCAGAAAATTTCCAGTGAGTCAAGCATTAGTCAACATGCAGTTTAGCACATGCATAAGTGGAATACCTTGTTCAATTCATTATATATGTTGGTTCGTAAAATCCAAAGAGCGTTAATTGATGTGCGCAAAACATTTGAAAATTTCATTTGAAATCTCCGGAATATCCAAAATGATAATTCAGTAGACGTCCTGCTGTAGTAGTAGTTCCTTAAAATGTCTGTTTAATGGCAGACTTATTGTTTCACGATCAAAATTTGCCAACCTGATAGTTTAATTTGAAACAAAATTTGAAAACGGAAACATTTTGTGTGTATTTGTTGCGCAGCAAGGAAAATGTATTGTGACTGGAAATGTTTCAACTTCCTTCAACCACCCAAACTCTTGCAAATTTTCAATTTAACATCCTTAAACACAAATTAATTCTCAACTTATTGCTCCGTGATTTCTAAGGAATGAAAAGAAAAAGTTTCAGTCTTGTTTTTTCATGAACTCACCTTGCGGTTCATCATTTTTGAACTACTACTGCAGAAATTGCGTGCTTGAACAGCTGCCAACTTGCACTATAATGATTTTCCCTATTCTAATTGAGGGGCTCAAAGGACAAGGCGCATAAGTGCAATTTTTGCTATTTCGAGAAAAACGTGTTTGAAGTTTCAAAATTTCGATCCGTACAGCAGAAAAAAAGTTCTAACTGACTTTTCAATGCTTAAACATTAGAATTTGGAAGCGAATTTTTCACAGAATTTGCTTCAAGAGTAGTTTTACTTGAAATGATTATTATCTAAATTTTTTGTAAAATTTCACTTATGCGCCTTGTCCTCCAAGCCCCTCAATTGAACGTACTTCTGTCAAACGGAACTACTTATGTGCATTAAGACATAAGCCCTGAGACACATAAGAATGTATGCATAACAGGGCTCACGTCACAATACACTTAGCTCTGTTTGGAAGGAATACATGCAATTGAAGCTGTGGCTTGAGTTTTGTGTTAGTATTATTTTCTTTTTGTTTTTAGGTATGACAGTAACCCGAGCACAACCTCTGATTCTGGTGATGACTCGGAAACCAAAGAGAAAAAGAAGAAGAAGAAAGAAAAAAAGAAAAAAGAACAGTCAGAAGATGATGAAGTCACACCTGACGACGATGAAGATGATGATGACGACGACAAAAAATCAAAGAAGAAGAAAGACACAAAGAAAAGGAAGCCTGTAAGTTTGTCGTCAACTAATTATTTTATTTCATTTCCTCCTCCCAGGTTCAGTTTGGGATCATGCAGATCTTATTTCTCATTCATAAAGTTAGTTATTTTCGTTGTTAATGTTTGTAAGGAATTACGGGTTAATGCATCAGAGGATGCAAACAGACATTTTAAGCAGACATTTATGAGTCTTTTTTTGCTCTATTGTTTTAAAAGAACTTCTAATCGGACCGTGTTTAGCAGAAAGGAACCAAGCCACATCAGCTATTGCCAAATTTAACTGGTTAGTTTAATTATTCACAAGAGAACGGTTGTGTGGATTCTTTTGAAACTTTTTAGGAATTGGCTTTGCACTATGCAGAAAATGCACCGAAATTTTCACAAAACTCCGCACAGCCGTTTTCATGTAAAAAATTGAATTGCCCAATTAAATTTGGCAATGGTTGATGTGGCTTTGTTCCTCTCTGCCTAACGCGGTCCAATTACAGTGCTTTCTATCTCTCTCTACAAATTTTAGCAACAAAGCAAACGATGTTTCGTTATACACTATATTGTTTCAGTAGAGTGAGAAGCAATCATACGGCAACATCCAATGCGGTATTTTTATTATGCCACAGCTGTTTTTTTCAGGATAAAGATTATTTCAACCCCTTTAATTTTTATCTTTTTTTTTTTGTTTTTTTGTTTTTTTTTTTGCGCATCTCATCTCATGAAAATTCTCTCTATCTTTTTCAGGCCAAGGAAAAGGAGCCGAAAGAAAAGAAAGGGAAAAAACCAGCTGGTAAAAAAGCCTCTACAGAATCTCCGACTAAGTACAAGAGTAAAGAAATCATCGAAGATGAAGACTCAACGGACAGTGATTGAAATATACTTTTTATCAACTTTGACTTCCCAATATTTCAGGTTTAAAATGAAAGACAGTGTTTTTATTTTTATATTATGATAACTCTGTAATTAAAGGCTACAGAATCATTAGTCATCTTTTCTGAAATTCAAGTTATCTGCGTTTGCGGCATGTTCAGTGAGAGTTTTGCAAGTGTCTAAAAATCTATAGTTATATCTCATGCCAAGTGTGAGGCACATTTGCCTGTTTTCTATGGCTATTGTAAGTTATAATAAAAAAAAAACAGCGGAATTTGTGCATTGGCATTAAGTAAGTTGATAGTGGAAGTAGACTATCAAGCACATAATCATTCTCTGTTCCTTTCGTTGGCCCATACTTCAGCCAGAATGTGAAGACACCAAACTGTGATCAAATGTTTTTTCCACCCCTCTCCCAGTAAACTGAATGGTCTATTTTGAAAATAATTTATATCTCCCAACATGTCATGTTCCTCATAGCTCCAAATGGAACTAGGTATTACACAACTGGAGATAATGTAGATATAAAATACAGAAATGTTCGTTTTTCCTAATGCAGCATTTTGTCTTTAAATCAGTTTTGAAGTCTACCGCTATCTCCTCCTATTTCATCGATCAATGAGTAACCTTTAACCAAAATTTTTTTAAAAAAACGTTGATCTATAAATTGTAGCTACGAGAGGTCTTGTCTAGAAAGAACATGAAAAAAAAAATACCTGTGAAATTATTTTTTTGTACTGGTAGTTGTGCTAACGTTCAACTTCACTGTCATGTATTGTTTTTTGCTTGTTATCATGCCTTATTGAATTATGCTTCCATGCATGCTATCCAAGTACGGGTCGTTTATTAGCATGTGTAACAGCATTTCATTTATTCGTGAAAGCAGATTTAAACTTTAATTCATAAGTTAGTCTTGGAAACGAACACTGAATGTCTTGAAACCTCAGTATAAATTTCGTTGTGTTTTTAATAAATGTTTTATCACCTGATTATTCTTTTTCAAGTCTACGGTAGTTTTATTGGCAAAGAAAAAAAATTGACTTACTCTGGGGCCGTTCATAAAATGGATTGCATCTTGCAAAAAGGAACCAAAAGCATTGCCATGTTGCTAAGATTGTGCGACTTCACCCTTTGCAATAAAATTAATATAATCATGCAAAAATATGAAATTTACATGGTAATTTTGGTCTTAAATTTACAGTTTTTAGCGTGTGAAATAGAAAATGTTTATAGATGACCAGGTTTTTCTTCCAAGACAAGAGAAGTTGCACAATCTTAGCGACATTGCGATGCTCTTGGTTCCTTTTTGCAAAATGCAGTCCAAATACAGAACGCTGAATTTCGGATTTTTAGATGCTCCTTGAAAAATTTTTGAGACATAGGTCTCAATCCTTTAACATGTAAAAATAAAATGGTATAGTTTTCTTCTTGACCTCCTCTCCTGTTTAGAGCATTACATATTTCATGAATAGGCTCTTTTAAAGTCTAGATCATAATGAAGCTTCAAAAGGCAGAAATACAATTTCAACTCTGCAGTTAGATTGAAGAGAACAATGACTTAACAAGGAGTGATTTCATAGAAAAAATTTATTCAGTGATAAATTAAATCCTTCAAGTTATGTACAATCATCAGTATTCACATAAAAAAGAAAAATGTAACTGCTTTTGGAAACGAAGGCAATGAACATTCATCGGTAGAAAAATTAAACAATCATGTGCCTAATTTTAAACTGAAAAAATGAAACTGGAACAGCTTTTCCACAGATTTTCATTTTATATCAGGTTAGTGGAAAGACAAAATGATATCAACACAACAAAAAATAAACTCTTCGATGAGAGTCACATGGCAATATTTTTTTTTTTTGAAATTCCTTGAGGAGCTTTGCAATACCAGCGCATTTTTGGCAGGATACTTAATTTCAATGATTGGCGACAGAACTTTCAAATTCACTAGTTCTTAAAAAGAACAACAGCGCCATACAGCATTGTCAAATTTTTCCTGATGCTTAATTTTCTTCAGAAAATTCGTTTTACAGATTTTTTCCCATAGACAATCGCATATACAGCGAGTGGATGATCCCTCCTACCGACAAAAATGAAATATTAGATAAAGAAAAATTACATGGTTGTAGGTTTCATGTACTATTTGTAGACATGCAAAAAATGACAATGATGATGACACACGTTTAGTTTCAGTAACATTATGAAACTCAAAGAAAATTAACTACGAACAACATTCACCTCAACAGAGGGCAATTACAAAAACTCAACGAAACTAGAATAACCAATAAAGTATAGGAACAAATAAAAAGCTCACTTTAGAGTCATATTTACTAAAATCTATGACAATTTTGAATCAGTTAATACTACTATTGTTAGTAATTAAGCCAAGAGCTTCTGTTGAAACAAAGTTCTCCTCAAGAAAAGTCAGAAAAGATAACTTTGTAAGCGAAAACAGTTAAAAGCTTATTTTGGCTTCTAATTTAGAAAGTGAATAGGGGGTTTCTGCCAAAGAGACACTCGATACATTGCATCATTAAAACCAAAACATGCAGCAAATATTGCTTTCTTTTCTATTGAATAGCATATAGATCCTTCATGCAATCAAACCTCACATGGCATCCTTGGTAAATAATTCCATCCTCACACCAATTTTTGTATCAAATAAGCTTGCATCTTTCAACCTGTCACTACCTAATTTAAAAAGAGTTGAGATTTGCAATGCAATGGGGAGAGAGAATAGAAGACGGAGATAAGTGTTATTACTCAATATTTAAATGCCCCATGAGGTTTGTCACATCGATTTTTTTTAATTTGTTCAAGGCATACCATGAAAATAAATATAAGACTAGCAGCTAAAGATGATCTTTCATTCATTTGAGAATCAATATTCGGTGAATAATCTAATTTTATTGATGCAATATAATCAAGACCTTTTGAGGCCGGATGAGCCTTTCAGTAACATCCTCTGAATTGAAAGCATAAGAAGAAGGTTTTGTACAGAGAGATGTGGTTAGGTAAATATTTCTACTTGAAAAGAGGAATGCTGATTTTCAATGATTCGAAATCAAAATACTACATATCAACTTTACCAAACTACAACATAGGTAAGACAATGAAAACAGTAAAACTAAATATGTAAACAAAGAATACAAAAAAAAAGTGAGATGCTTCGATCTGACAATGATAAAGACAGCGATATCACCAGGCTCTTCGCTGCCTTCTTGAATTCAAAATTCAGGAAAACTGTGTAACATGCGAAAAACAACCACTTTTGGACATGTTTCACCGCGGAGAAAAACATCTGCAATCTATCACAGACCCATTCAAGAATAGCACGGCAGTTCTGAAATCTGAAAGTAAGCTAGCTGACCGATTGGTGACGAGTAACAGAATCCAAAACATAACAAAAAAATAGTGAATTTTCCCTTAGAAAATACACTAACAACGACGCGACATCTTCAAAGATTTTGGAGAAATGCAGCATCTGATGTTGAGAGCAGATAAGTCTTCCAGTAAGATTTTCTGTGCTGATCTACACTCTCACTTTTTTATTCAACATCATGAAAAAAGGAAAATTAAATAATTTAATAAAGGCAGGCTTTGTCAGCAGAGTCCACAAAAAAAAACATCTGAAGTCACACAACTACATTATTCCAACATTATTCTAACTTGACGTCGTTTTTCCTACCATTTATCATTGAAATTAAAATTTGTTTTACTTTATTACGGACGAACTGTTATTCATCAGAGAGACTAATTAAATAGTATAATTACTATACAATTTGAAATTGAATTATTTTTTATTTATCAAAATATCGGAGAGCGTCAAAATTTAGCCAAAGCCATGGGTAACTTGATACCTTTTTTGTGGAGTCTTTTGAAGGAACGTTGCAGCGCTTAAAGTTGGAAAATGACAATCAAAACAGTCGTAGGATCATTTTCGAGAACAGTTTTTGACTTCCTGAATTATAAACTGATGGGAGAATTTGTTACAGGGATATACTTGAGAGTTTTCCACTGAGGGGCCTCATCCTGGCAAGCAAGAACATTCATTTATAATCTGACAAAACTAAGGAAACCTGATTTTTTCTCTCTTTTTTTCATTCAGGAGGAATTTAAGATTATAGGTACCAAATTAAATGGGTGTCCTTTTCACTCCAAAGTAAGCCAGAAAAATTATGTACTCAAATGCAGGACCAATGCCAATGGTTGTGAACCGAGCTTCGGTTTTGATTATCTTCAACATATTTGCGACAAACTGCCTTCGTTCCTATTTTCAAATAAATTTAAATACATAATGGATCCTAGGTTACGGAAATTACTATCGAATGAAAAATAAGCTTATCTAAGTATAAAACATGTAAAAAAAATAAAAACTCCTCAAAATATCTCTCTCAAAATGAAGCAAAGTGGCTTATTTGTTACAAAAATGAGGACTGAGATGGAAATTCAACTTTTTAAACAAAAATGAGCAATAATCAACTTTTAAGATCCGTTGATTGATTCCCATATTATTCATTGATAATGATTATTGTTTACAATTCTTTGTGTAATGGCGTCCCTCGCACAGAGGAACACATCTTGTCTGTGCTGTTTCAGTATTCATATGAAAATTTTATTTTTCACACGAGAAACGTAGAATGGATTACTCTGGAAATTATACTGTCTTTTCTCACAGAAGAAAAGTCACAAAAAATTTCAGGCAGATTCAAATGACTATTTTCCTACAAACAAAATAAAAAGTCAGTAAGAAATACTGAAACAGCGCAATCGAGATATGTTAGGCGACAGTAAGAAACATAAATTTAAAATCTTGCTCAGGAGCCGAAATTCAAAATCATTAAGAACAGTAGCCACAATAACTAACATTTTCAAAGTGAATGGAATAAAAATAAAGAAGTATGAGAAGAGAAATCATGAGAGTCAAAGCAATAATCAAGGGAAATCACAGTTATATAAGCCGATCAACTAAAATTTAAAAGGAGAAAGAGAACTAAGTTTAAGTGGTGATCTTATACTTAAAATACTTTCATTTTGTTTCCTAATCGTGAATCTCGACCAGAAGCACACAGGTATTGCCATGGTCAAAAAAAGTTTGTTAAAATACTGATCTCATTTTAAGTGTGATGCAAAAAACGGATTCATTGCATTAACCAGAGCGTATTGACTGTAAAATCTGAAAAAATCTATCAAAAGCCAGAAGTTGAAGTCAAACTGTCCGATGCTGAATATAGCACCTTGATTATAAAAAGCGAGAGGCAATGGGGCAGTGGCAAGGAATTTTTGCAGGGTTGTAGTTTAGTTTTTCAGATGTAAAATCAATCAAAGTTCGAATTCTACTTGCTTTCCATTATGTAGTAATAAAACCAATAATTTAACAAATTGTTTCAATATCTCAATACATGTTTGATTTCGATAGAGATTCACCCTGTAATATTACATTTATATTTGTGTACATTATCGACAAATAAGAAGCTACAAGGCTTCTTATTACGCACAGTAAGACAAAAATCCTATCTTGATACAAATTCAATGTAAATTACAAGAATATGAAATTCAATTTTAGAAAGAAGAGTTCTTCTACACAGAGATGTGCATCCATTTTTGGAATTATTTGTGATAGTTGTATGCTGTCGTGCCAAGGCAAAACGCTGTATGAACATACGAAAGTTGCCACTTTAATAAAGTGTTTATTCTGGAAGAAAGTTATGCAGGTTATGAAAAAAGTTTGGAAGGATGTATATGAAATTTTCAGATATTATAGATTGAAATGCAAACAAAATTGTTTCAAAAGTTGAAAGAAAAATATTCATAACTTTCACAGTAAATTCGTATTTTAACAAGAGAAATTTACAAATACCTGAAGGTTCACACAGCGTTTTTCCTCGGCACGACAGTAAGTACAGTAGGTAAAAGTAAAATAAAAAAAATTACTGTGGTAAAAATTGACTATCAACACTAGCATTGTTGATAAACCGGTTTCTTGGTAACAAATTTGTTTCAGTAATTTGACGGTAAAATGTATAAAAATAAAAGACATGCTTCAAATTCGATATAAAAAAAGAAAAAAAAGAAATGAGTTTCCATGCTAAGATAAGAGAGGTAGCATTCCATTGAAGTAGAAATGCGAACAACTATTTACCAAGTGGGAAAATTGAGTATTTCCGAAATCATGTTGGTAATACAAGCACTAATGCCCTGGTAAGACACTCATTGCTTTAATTTTGACGTGTTTCCACTGTTGGAGAGGTGAGAGAGTCTTTCAAAATTTGGTCGATTTCAGCTACAACTTTTGGCGCATCCGTCTCACCAATGAGATTCGAAAGCTGACTATTCTCTAGAGTAGACTTTAGGGAAGAGAGAATGTAATGAGGGTCAGGTACTGCAATGAACTGGGCCTGGAGCAGCCGTTTGGGGTCTACCTCTTCGGTACCATTTAATTTTACGCTAGAATTCTCCGATTTGCCGTTGATTTCACTCAAGCTGAATGAGAACACTTGAGAACTGGCATTTTGAGTGGATGAATTTTCTTTGTAGTGAGAAATTATATCACTCTTTGATATTTTCGGCAACAGTGATTTGAGACTTTTAATTACACTGACATAGACCTCTGGTTCCATGCTTTTATTCTTGTCTGCAGATTTGACTGTTTCCGTACTTGATAAATTAATACTTGCGTTCAACCACTTGATAATTGCTGCAGACATGTAAAAATATAAGCTCTGCACAGCGCTGTTAGCACAGCCTAGTGGAAGACTGAAGGACTGCTCTAGGACATCAAGCGTTTGAGGACCTTCTGGGCGCAGAAGCGCAAACAAACTTAGAGTATAATGATATTGGGGACATTGAACTTGAAGTTTATAGCTACTGCTTAGAGCATTAAGAAGGTGGTTCAGTCTCACAGAAGTGTCACTAGAAGATAATAAAAGGGCAAATTGACCGCTAACATACATTATTAACTTGTTCCTATTCTCAACATTAATTGAATCTACAATTTTTGACAATTTGGTGTACACGCTACCAGTATCCGAACCAAGTAGATCTTTCATCATGTTTTCTAGATCCTTCAAAGCAGGGGTAGATTTCCTCTCTCCGGCAAGCCACGCTTTTTCCATTTTCCAGTCTAATGGGATGTGTTGACTGCAGTACTTGTACGTTTCCAGCCAGACCGCTAAATGGTTGAGGTGCACTCGCTGGCCTAACATACTAGCAGCGTTGACGACATGATTACTTGCTAAACAATCTAGGAAACAGTCGGTGATGATGTCATCAACGGCCAATGGGGTAGAGACATCTTCAGCAAGAATGGCTGATTGATAGCGGAGTTTGGGATCCTTACATTTAAGTATATTGGTTATCGCACTAGCTTTATCATTGATGGAATAGTAGCAGTGCGCCGCAAGACTAAAGTGACCATTGCTAGCTGCGTACTCTGCCCAACTTCGCATCAAACTTTGGAGTCTGGGGTCGTCCGAAGACCAATGACACTTGGCCATGGCAACTGCTTCTCGATGCATGTTCTTGCCGGTGAGGATGTTAACCGCCTCTTGGATTTCATTGGCTGCGACCAAGTAAGAAGCAGCACGGAGAGGCTGCTCTAAAGCAATTTGATATGCGTAAGCAACACATGCTTCAAGCCAGAGTTTGTATGAAGCCATGGGTGCTAGACTCAAGATCCACTCCGAGACTTGTTTCTTGTGGATCGAATCGCGAACCAGTGCTGTCACATCACCCTTCCAAAATCGACACAACTGTTCACCATCCAAGTTCTGCATTTCAGTGTGTTTTGCTTGTTCAGCATTCAAGAGGCTCATCATGTCATTCGTATCACCGAAGAACTTTAAGTATGAAACTTCTGATGCAGTACCGTTTTCCCCATTTGTGCTCTCTTTTGAATTGCTGATGAGGTGACCAAAAGACTTTCCTTCCGATAAGTGTGCAGCTGTAAGAGGGAACAGTGTTTTCAGTTTTGGGACAGCTTTTTTGTTTTTCTCAACAACAACGTAATTGCAGTGTTCTGGTGAGACAGGCTCAGCGTTAAAGTTCACATTACCATACTTTGCCTCGACAACATTTGTCAGCTGATATTTGTTGATCATTTCTTTCCGTTTCTTTCTCTCGATGGGTTTGATGTGGGTTTGAGCTGCTGTTTTCCAAACAAAGACCTTGCAGTCAGCTCCACCTGTGTAGACAGTGTCATTATCTAATGGACTCCACAGCCCACACATAACATAACCTGTATGTCCTGGGAAGTTGGCTAACGGGGTCTTGTTCAGAACATCCCAAATCTGGGCTGAGTTATCGTATGATGTTGACAATAGACGGTACGGTATGAATGGACTCCATGCGACGGTTGTGACACGACATTCATCTGCATGTGCAAAAGACACCAAAACCTTAGGTTCTTTGTCCAGGCCCTCTGAGAAATCATAAACCTTGATTTGATGAGAGGCAGTGGCTAGGATGTTCTTCCATGAAGTTACTTGAGCCATTGACTCATCGGTAATGATTTTGGGATGCCATGCAAGACTTTGAATTATCTTTTTGTGTGCATAAATGGTTTGCAAGCCAGCCCAGGATTTATCGAGGATATGAACATAGCCATTCTCATTTCCAACTGCTACAGCACTTGAGTCATGGTTCCATGCCAGTTCTGTTCGTTGGAAACGCATTGATAATTTGAATGATTCATCAGCCGCAGAGAGTACTTTATTCAATTTAATAGGGGTGGCATTAGGGTCATCTGGATTATGTTCAACGACATCACCATCTCCGACAGAGTACAATGACAATCCATTTTTCAGCTTTTCGGCAGTGAAGTTCAAGGGTCCGGCCCATGACAAAGTATATACTGAGCTAGAGTGGGCGAGTTTCAGAATCACAGGAGGTGTCTTGCCAGTGGTGTTGATGATACCTACACGCCCTTCTCCAGTACCAAATGCGAGAAGATTTTCCGCAGTTGGATGCCATGCCAGTGCCATAACCTTCGCCATTATTTTGCTCTTGTAGCATACTGTATCAAAATTATTTTTGGTGGAAACATTCCAAACAACGACTTCTCCGTTTCCAACGCCAATTGCAAGTTGGGAGTTATTGATGGGGTTGAAGGCCATGCAATAGGCGATTTGTGTGAGGGTGGGAATGAAGATTTGTTTTTTGGGGTTGTTAAGATTGAAACCGATGATATTGCGATCGATTGAAGCGGACCAAACAGTAATAGGTGGAGTTGCATCACCGCCAGCACCGGCATCGCTCTGTAGCGGATTAAAGGTGAGTGAGAAAATACATTTGTTGTGCTTGACTGGAAGGTCTGTGATACTTGTTTTCGTGCCTTTGAGCTCGGTCCTGAAAGTAGAAAAGTAGGAGTAAATAACGAAAAATTAGAAATTACACTCACATAATCAATATATTATTTCGAGGTTTGTGACAAATATTGCTAAAATCAACCATTTATCAAAAAATAAATCATCGAAAAATTTGGTAAAAAATTTGAATCAATGAACTTTTAAGAAAAATCAGTAATTAAGTAAAGTCTTTTTGCCGCTTGAGATTGTAGGAAATTTAGATTTAAGACTTTGAGGGTAAAAATCTAAGATTTGGATTCTTTGGAAGTTGTCATCTCTTACTTACAAATAATGTTAAAAACATAGGACATTTCACTCATCTGGAGTCCTCTGAGCAACAGTGTTTTTAAGAATTTGAAAAAGCACTTAACTCTTTGAATAAGTGCTCATTAAATATACCCGAAATGCAGAATTTCAAAGAAGTTTTTTGCAACTTTTGCAGTAAGATTTTTGCAAAAAATTATAGATTGTACCAAATCAAAGGGAGACAGTGAAGACTAAACAGAAGTATACTAGAAGCGTACATTTATAGATGCAATTTCTGCTTTGTGTCTCCTTGCTACCCAAGTTGCAGTGGCTATTTTAAGGATTACACAGTTCAACTTTATTGACTGTTGAATACGAATGATCCAACAAAAATCACGAAACTGGATTGTACGCTTAAAACCATTTCAGGATTAAAACTTCCTGTTTGTGCATATGCGTTCATGCACCATGTAATCGCAAACAAAAATATTCTGGCAGTCTCCAACAACCAGCAACATGATGTGGGAACTGCCGTGACAGTTTTGCCATGGAAATTGTTGGCCGCTCACAAGAATACCTCATTAGCAGCATGAATTGGGCCTAAGTGTTGTTGAGACTTTTGATGATAATGAAAGGTAAGGATGCAACACAAATTGAGTTTTTAGAAATATGTATTGATGCTGAAATTTTCGGGGGCAATATCATTAATATTTACAAAATCTTTACTCAAAAGTTATAAATTGTAAATATATTTCTGGAACGAAAAAAGCTCAAAGTGCCGTCTTGTAGTCTGCGGGTCTCCTTTTTATTTTTTCACAGCATCCTCTTGCAAAATTGTAATCCACCCAATGTTATAATCTTCAGTCAAATTTGTCTACCTCCTATAGAGAGTGAATTCTCTTCCAGTGAATTTTTCTTGCAATCGCTGTTGTCAAAAAAAGTTGATGAAAAAACAGAAAACTTAATGCTAAATATTTTTGAAAGACATGGTAGAAAATGACTTAACTGATTCATAAATATATATATAAAGTCGCTTTGCAACGCACTCTGGCGTTCTACGACACCCAAACGCCACATATGCCTGTCTTCCCAGAGGTTATCGGGCAACTGACACCGCAACATCTCTTCGTCAACGCCCTGCCGCCAACCCTTTACGAGACGTCCCCGTCGCCTCTTCCCAGATGGTAACCAATCCAAAACTTGTTTGGGCAACCTCTCCTCCGACATTCTTTGCACATGTCCATACCAGCATAACTGCCTGGACATGACGTCGTGCACGATATCTTTCTCAACCTTCATCACCTGGCGAATTCTCTCATTACGGACACGGTCCCATCTCGAAATGCCGGCAGATCGCCGCCAAAAATCCATTTCAGTTGCCCTCAACATTTCTTGCGTTCTTTTCGTCAAAGGCCACACTTCACTACCATAGAGGACGATACTTTTTACTTAACAGATTCATTATCGAGAAAAAAAGAAAGGGAAACAATTGAGTGCTTACTTGGGATCTCCAGACAGCTTAAGTAATTTCAAATCCCCTTGATGGGTACCAGCAATGATAGTGTTTGAGGTGGGCCAACAGATACAAACATGCTTGATACCAAGAGCGCTATTGTACCTACAAAGAATAAGAATAGGAAACTAATTAATGGGCCAAGAAGACACTACTTTTGAGATTTCAATCCAAGACATTGACTTTTCAAGTTTATGTCATGATGTACCTATAGTAATTCTTAGTACTGCTAACACACTGATTTTTGAGTAAATAACAGCAGCTGCGCTAATGTTCTGTTGATATTACCTGGACTGCACTCATTTATTCATGAAAATTACTCCAAACTACACTGATCTTTCTAGTCAAAATTAACAAAATTACCAGGAATTTCTATTCTGAAATGCCAACCATTCTGTAAAATGGTGCGCAAGGAATATTTGTACCTGGGTGGTGAAGGTGTAAACAGAAAACTTTCTACAGCCCTTATTCTAACAAAAACTAGGAACACTACTCCTTCATTTGTGTGTTAATTAGGACCGTGTCTGATATGATCAGCATAGACTACATGAAATTAGGATAAAAAAACCATGTCTTAAGCTAATTTAATTATCAACCTCTCTAATAGTTCATTCTCTTGGTTTTCCTGAGTTTAAACTAAAATAGAAGGGACAAAATTGGGCTTGAATTCCATTCATGCAGCCAAGATTTTATGCTTGTCAGTATTGTAAACAGTCGAAAGTCCTGAAGTTTTTTATGTTGTGTCATTTCCCTGGATGTTTCTGGGTTCTTTGACATGGCTTCTCAGTTTTCTCCTCGAAAGAAATTCTTGAGTATCCTTAGTCATATAGAGCCTTTGACTGATTGAGTAATTTGTCAATTCTAAGACTTTCTGCGGGTGCAGAAAGTTCTTTGCCTTCACATTTTTTGAGATTGCCTACACATTGCTGTCCACACAAGACTGCACTCCACTAGTTTCTTTGCAAAATGGAGCATGCTTTACAATTAGAGAGCGTTACACAGTTTTCTTTCCCAAAAGTAATGTTTTTAGTCAGGGTTTTCACAGCATTTAGAAAATGAAATTCCCTGACATTTCCCAGATTTCCCTTAAGTACGCATTTTGGTGAAATTTTCCAGAAAATTGAAGATATGATAGGTGGTTAAGAGGACATAATTGAAAATAGTTGTCAGATAAAATTTGTTGTTCGAAACTTCAAACACATTCTAGAGAGAAAAATTTAGGCGACTAAACAAATTTTACCTGACACTTTCATCATTATCTCTAACATCTCCTGGTTTTCCCTGCCTGTGGCAACTGTGTTCAGTAGTTTCCTTCTAAAAAAATAACAGATTTAAAGAAATTTATCACAAAAAAAACCTTGACTTTACAATTCTTTAATCTTTTTTGGTGCCTTCACATTTCTCCGGCAATCAGTCAATCGGGCACATTTTGTACTTCTGAAAACTTGAAAGAAACCCTCTTTGGCTCAAATGAGCTAACTTAAAATTTTTGGTGCCAAATGGCTGATTACACCACAAACCTTGAGGCAGGGAAGAGATTGAAAGTGAGTTCGCTGACTTTGTTCCTCCATACGGTGACAGTGCAATCCTTGGATGCAGTTGCTACTACCAGTGGGGGCCCAGTTTTTCCGTCCTCGTCTTTTTGGTTTCCTTTGAAGTCAGTCCAGAAATTTTCTGGACACCAAGCCACAGAGACAATTTCTGCATCATGGCCTCGCAAGCTCCATAAGATATTCCCAGAGTCTGGAAAATAAACATTTGTCATTTCCATTACAAAGCACAAATAAAACTAAATAAGGGACCCATTGAAGGTCCTATTCTGAATAGAAAAAAGTAATGAAGAAATGAGGGCACACTTTCAAATCATATTTGTTTGCCTACAAATGTTTTTCTCTTCGTGTGGTCACCTTCCAGTCGAAGTGACACAAGCGCCATTTGGGCTTCAGCGCTGTCTTGCCCAACTTTTAAAAATCGTTTTATTTTATTTGCAGAAAAACTAAGGCACAGAGTCACTTAAAAATTCAACCCGATATATCTTTTGTCATCAGCATTAAGAACTCTTTAAAATTTCAATGAAATTATGTGCTGAAGTCTTGAAGAAAACATTAGAGCAATATTGAGACTTCCAATGGTCAGCCTCAGTGGTGTAGTGGTCAAGGCAGTTCGCTGCCAGCACTGAGGTCCCGGGTTCAATCCCCGGAGGTGACTGATATTTGAGGACACTCAAATATCAGTCATCGTGACTGTGGATGACTATGCCACTCCAATACCCTGACCCTTTGAGGTTACAGGGTGCGGGAGGGACATAGCCACCCAGTAAGTAATCCGTCTGCACTGTTCGACTGGGTTGTGAAAAATCGGTTATCACTCGTAGTGTGCGCGACTGCCAGCGCTACCTATCAGTGTAGATTGCAACAACACAGTCCAACTCGGTGGAGGCATGGCCGTGCTCCGAAAGTCCGTGCTCTGCAGCGTCTGCCACAGTCTTTGATAAGACCTTCCGTTGGCTATCAGACGGCCGCTGAGCCTTGCGGGAATATAATTGATACTCAATGTGTCAATAGTACGAAGATAAGTTAAGGTGTACGGTCCAACTTCGGGGTGCACGACGGCAGTTGCCAGTTGCCTTGGCCCCTTGAGGGCGCCTCGCCGGCCAGCCCGGCCTTACTTACTTACTTACTTACTTACTTACTTACTTACTTATTGAGACTTCCATATTGTTCACCAACATAACATCTGAGCATGAATGGCACTTCGATACTGTAAACTGGCAATCACATAACTCAGTTTGTGACGTCCCATACTTCCTGTCATACTTCATTTATTAAACGGAAAACTACTCAACGGCAATTCTTTAAAACTGCTGAGATTTTTCTTCTCTCTGCGAGGAAAATACTGCAAAAACTTCGAGGTGATGTCAATTTGTTATCCTTTAAAAAGAATAACATAGAGGCGGAGATTTTTAGACACCACAAACGAGATATGTGATTGCCAACTTACGCTGTGGACTTGTGAAACCTTGGCCAAAGGTGGCAATGTAATCACATGCTGTTGAGCTAAGGTCAGAAAATAATGACACAAGACAAAATTAATGGAAATTTGAGGAGGAAGCACACAAGGCCACACTTGTAAGAACTTTTAACAACAGTTGAAATGATACCTAGCTCATTGAAATTAAGAATTCTATGCCATGAAATATTTTTTTTGCAAAACTATTAACTTATCCAAAGAACATTTACCTTTGAGAGAATAAACTATGAAGAGACCAGACTTTGTTCCGATGGCGACTAGATTTCTATTGACGGGACAACATGCTACGCATTGTGGTGAAAGCTTCCCTTTCAGAGAATACCTGTTAATGACATTTACGTTCAGTTTCCATGAGACAATGGAGCCACTTGAAGCAACGGTGACAATTGTTTCTGGATCCAATTTTGACCAGTCCATTCCCTTGATTTCTTCATTGCCTTTCGGCGACTGAAAACGATAAAAAATTGATCAAATGATTGATTTTTTTTTTCGATTGGGAGTGAGGAGGGATGAAGATCTGAGCGCAGGAGCCCCTCTAGACAATGTTTGAAAAGAGAGAACAGAGAACAAGAAATTTTCAGACCGTTGAAGGACAAAGAGAAGTCTTACAGAATGGGTCAGTTGTGCTGGTCACAGAATCGTGTTTTGATGCTTTATTCTTGCAAATCAACTAAAAATAATAAGATGTATTCAAACAGCAACTTTCTACATTGAATATTAACCAAGATATTGCACCTTGAAAAACTCAATTTATGACGTCATCCACTGCAGTAGTACATACCATGTTACGCACTACCTTTATAGATGACATCGAACACCTGACTTTTCCAAGAACGGTATCTCCATTATTATTCAAATCACGGACAGTAGGTCTATGAAAAAAAGGTCTACTCAAAAAAATGACTACATTTCTTGGTCTACGTCAAAATGTCTACAATTAAGAAGTCTACTTTTAGAATGCCTAAGAGAGTAAATGTCTACATATAACACTTCTATCAAAGGAAAATGAATACACAATGATTCTTCTCCATAGATACAACGAAAGATGTAACTGATGGGAGTTAACTCTACCTATTCCATTCGGAAGTGAACTTCAAGTGAAGTGAAGTATGGATTTTTTTTTAGAGGACATTATTATTTGTAGAAATTTTTGTGGTGGACTTTTGTGTGCATACCTATTATTCAACCTAGAAAGTTGCTGTTTGGACGGATCTTCTTATTTATAGCTGATCTACAAGAATCAAGCATCAAAACATGATTCTGTTACCAGCGCAACTGGCTCATTTTTGGTCGTGACAATGCTCACTCATCCTTCAAAAAAGTACAAGGTATATATGTATATATTAATTAAGAATCCTGTAATGTCATGAACTAAGATGCATGGTTTTGTAATGCGGCCACCCAATAATGAATTACTTCTTGCTGTGGTTTCTCATTTTGATATGATGACTTAATTTTACTGTGGAAAGAGAGCGAAGATAACAAGATGGATGTAAAGAAATTAAGTTCTGTATTCTGAAACTGGTGAAATTAAAAAATGATACCTAGTTCAATCACACTAAGTACTCTTTATTGCTTGCCGATACATTGCAGTTTTCCTGTATCATCATTTTGTCATTGGTAAGAAGTATTTTTAGTACCTGAAGAATTTCGATTTAACAATGGACAAATCCCACTGAATACTGGAATCGTTAGTTTTAAAAAAATTTCTGCTGCGCTTTAAAATCAATTCTCCAATAGGCAACCCAAGTTTCATGGTCTCAAACAATAGTGCTCGACACTGAAGGGGGATGGAGTTGAATTGGACGTATTTCTGCCAAACGGAACTATGTGCATTATGACGTGAGCCCTGTTAAGCATATATTTTTATGGGTCTCAGAACTCATGTCTTAGTGCACTTAGTTTTGTTTGGCAGAGATACATCCAATTAAAGGGTTTTTTGGGCGAGTGGCTCAATTTTTAATTAAACTCTCAAAAAAGTTAAATTTCTGAAGCTGAGGTTGAATCTTTAAAATACTTAAATCCTAAAAGTAGACAGCAAAAATCAAGTGTGATAAAAGCTTTAGTTTAATTGCTGTGTCCCAAAAGAATCTGGGAACTACCAAGCATTCTTGAACAACGTACCATATGTCCCGTGTGATAGCTAACGATGGTGGAATTTTTGAGATTCCAGAGGCACACTTTGCCATCATTCCCAGCCGATGCAAGGTAATCACTATAAGTGTGATCACTCCCGACGGGAGCGAAGCGCACAGCGGTGATAATATTTTTCACTCCGATAGGAAAAGTTGTCGTCTCATACTTGCTGATATCAAGAGGATCCTGGTTCAGGTTATTGATCACTATGATCTCGTTTTTGGATCCATATGCAAGTCGTGCTCCATCGCTCGTAGTGGAGATGATGTTATCGTTGAACCAGTTGACGGCGGTAGGAATCGTTATCTCATTCATTTTTCTACTTAAATTTTACCTGCAACAGTCAAGAAAAATCATTGAGGGTATTAATGAAAAGTAAATAAATAAAACGACAAAAAAAAACCAAAGTAAAATGGAACTCCACTAAAATTTGCGTCTTGTATGTCAGCAGTTGTTTACTTCCAATATCCAAGCACAGTAGACAAACTAAGCAATATCCTGCGACTCTTTGCCACTGGACAGTTCTATCAACCGCTCAAGACCTTCAAGCAGTTGGAAGAAATAATGGACATCCATAAATAAAAACTTGACTCACCATCTAATTCAAATCGAGTTTAAACTGAAGAAAGAAAAGAATGGACTAATGTCACATCAACTGGAAGCATCAATCATTAGTTGGGCTATTGATAAGCACATCGCTTTCAGTTGAATGGTGCCCTTCTATGATGTAACGTTTGTCATTCTCATCTTCGCCTATTCTAAAGCACCAGTCCCACGTAAAAAGTAGGGGCTTTGAAAAGACGCTTATCAATGGAACTGATAACTGTCGTCTTCCAAAGATCGTCGGCCTATCGATCTTTAAAGGTTACCAATGTGATCGGGACACATCATAGAACAGATCTTGAAATATTCAAGAAATTTTCAGCAGAAATGGCTCGAACATTAGAGAATTGATGCCAGGTGGAAAGCTCCAATTTATGCGTGAGACAGATACTTGACAATGTCCATGTACATGACAAATTGTTTTATGCGGTTGGCACTGTTCGTTATCTGTCAGGAGATTAGCGCACACGCATCGTATGTTGAGAGAAACATCAAAGTATTGTTCATGTCACCAGTCATCAGTGGTACCATCTGACTGCATGTATTAACCTGTTGAGTGGTACAAGTTCAGAGCTAATCAGAGATTGAAGTTGGTCTCAACATACGATGTGCGAACTCTAGAAGCTGTCCAATAAACATCAGGTAATTCTGTTCCCGCATGGTTCCGAACAGGTTGGTTGAGCAACAGACCTGTGGGGCTGATCTACGAAGACAATCTGCCAACATATTGATTACCCTAACAATGAGCAAAAGGGAAAAAATCAGAACCTAACTGATCAACCATTAAGGTCCTCGCAAATCTTTCACACTGCCCTTACAAGAACGATTCATTCAGCTGAACAACTGCGACGATCAGGTATTGACAAAATATGTGTAATACGAGAAGGTAAAAAGTAAGGAAGGGGAACTTTGATTGGTTTTTCCAAAATGAAACTTTCTATGCGCATCATTGAAAATACTTTGGCAAAGCACATGGTTTCAACATGAGACGCACTGACAGAGACTGGAGAGTAATTCCACTCTCTTACCTTCAAATGATGATTTCATTAGAAAGCAAACTCACCGCTAGGATACACGCTGGTTTTCTTCTAGAAAAATAAACTAGAATTTGAAAAAGGAATGAAAGTACACACAAGAAAGACCGTTATGAAACGAGGAAAAGTGGTACCTACTTGCTTACTTTGAAGAATTAGAAGACTTGTGACATGAGATAAGGGGAAATATTTCTGATAACGCAAATCAGGGAGCACACGCTAGTGTAGAGATGGGTGTCGCTGAATGCAAATTCCAAAATAGATCGTTACCTGAAAATATCTAATCAAAACTGGTAATAAAACGGAAACAATAACCTCTGTACAACGAAAGCGCACGTTTGCCGGGCAAATCAAAAGCCAGGTGATGAGCAAAACAAAAGACACAGCGTTGCCAAGTAAAAAATTTTCATTTATTAATGTCAGTAATGTGTATTAATAAACTATACTTCTTAAAAGACTTGGCAACTTTTGCTGCCAACCTTGAAACTCAAGATTAATTACATTTTTAATTTTGGTGGTAATGTAAATCTTTACGTAAAAATATACTTTCCTGTTTAATTACGATGTTTCACCAATACACTCGCAGGCGAACGGTGTGAAATATTGCTTTTTCCTCTGTCTTAGAAATAAATGCACAACGTTTTCGGATCTGTGTCTGGGGACATCACTGTCATTGTCATTCCTCTTGAAGCGCCAGATTCAAACTAATTTTCTCTAGAAATGTTCGCTTGTCATGCCGACTTCCGTCACAATGAAACAGTTCATTGACATTTTCTAGAAAAGCAGCAAAATTGATCATTTGATTGAAATTTGTCTCAGAGCAAATGTTTTGATGAAAAATAATGCTCAATTTTTCACCTTAGTATTTGAGAATATTTTACTGCGTGATCGAGCTTCTATAAAAAGTAATTTTTGATCTTCCAAAAAGATTAGGTAAACATTTTCTTTAGTTCCTGACAAAAATTGTGTACATTTCAATTCCACTAAGTACCTACTTAGTACATAAAAATAAAGTTCTTTATACTGCTATTTTAGAATCAACATATTGCTTTCCGATTTGATCTGGCAACATCTGATACTGTTTTGAATCTAGTGAGTGAGAAGATTCAACTATTTTCTTAAACGAATGGGGGGAGGGGGAGCACTAAAACCATCACTTTTAATACAAACCCTCGAGACAGTTTCCTAATAACTCAAAATAAACTTTAGATAAATAGGTATCAATGAATTCTCTTTGCTGATAATCAGACCTATTCACAAAGGGAGATCTTCCCAAGTAAGTAGTAGGTACAGGTTGCAATAAACGGTTGCATGGTAAAATTAATTATTGCTACACTGCAGTGTATTATCTATCTATATCCTGATTAAAGGGGCTCCTCTTGATATAATTTATTGCAATAAAATTGAAATCAAATTGCAAATTTCCCTGGAATTGAATAAGATTGCCTGTATTTGACACTAGAAGCTGATTTCTTTGATTGTTTAAAATGAGCATTTTATGACCAGATACTGTCTGGTCATAGAATTGGAGGAACATTGGAATTGGACTATCTGGCAGATAGTGTAAGTGTATTCAAATTTCACACAAAAAACTTGAAATTGTTTGGCATTAAGTTGTGAATTGATTTTAATTTTTTTGTTGCTCTGTGCTACCTGTGCTTAAAAGCAATCGTCCGCCATAATGCTGGGTGTCCAGATTTGATGTGTCCTTTGATCAAAAGCTTGATTATTCTTTTGACTAAAGTCTAGATTGTTTGAACACTGCTAGAAAAATTAGTTACTCAAACTTTTTGCTCAGTTTTGATCATAACTTGAGAACAAATGTTCACTGCTACATAATTTCATATTAGCCTGTTGATCACTGGACCCCTGATGATTCTCAACATTGATATAAAAAAAAATAATTAACATTAACATGAGTTTCATTCTTACTCTGTTGATTGATAGGACTTAAAAAAAAAAAAAAAAAAAAAAAAAAAAAAAAAAAAATTGTATGAGAGTACCGAAGATTATTCAGTCAGAATATTCTCCTGAACAGTAAATCTGGGTATGTAAGGAAAACAAAATACAACTCGAGAAACAGGGTCCAAACATTTAATTGCGAGGAATTTTTAAAATCTTTTTATATAAATGAACACAGAGTAAAATTACTCTTAAAAAAACCTTCCTGTTTATAATAAAAAAATCCCAAATGCATTCCGAAAAACAATTTTACGAAAATTCTTTCAATAAGAATTTTGTTCATTTTTTCGCAAGAAGTCGCAGAACAGTAGGAATTTTACATGGATGTTCCAATTTTCAGGATACAGCTAATTCACAAAAATTTCCAAAAATCTGTTAACACAAAATTGTTGAAAAATATAATCTGATTTACAATTTCAATACATTTAAAGCAGCACACAAACTTATGTAGAAAGTGGAGCACACATCTTGATTTTCCACAAGCAGATTTATTGACAGTTTAAATTTTCTAAAGGTTGCCTGATCAAAATTATTGCAAGATTCTTCTCTCAAATTTCAAGAATTTTCTCTAAAAATCTCATGTGATGATAACAAGTTCTCAGAGGTACCTATTATTTTCTCAAGGTACATAAAAAAACCTGAAAATTTGAGACAGCCTTGTCAAGATACAGGTTTCTCTTATTTCACTACCTAAAAGACCACCCGCTAATTACCGGGAAATTCAGCGCCGCTTAAATTTCCGTATTGTTTTAAATACTTCAGCTTAGGGCCTCTTTAGCTCAGTGAGCTTTTAAAAGATTTTCAATAGTTTGTCATTTTTCGACTCCCTGACTTGAGACTGACATTTAAAAAGTTCGATTTCAAAGTTCATTGTTGCTCAGGAGGCATTATCTGATAAATAAAATTAAAATTTAGCAGGCGCCAAAATTTGTAAGATTTGATGCATAATCCAGTGCTTCATACCATTTATAGATTATTGATCAAAGACACTGGACACTATAGACTGAGCATTTTCAAGCACAGATATTGCTTTTCATTTGTTACACACCAGTAAGTAAAAAAAAATTCCCATTTTTTGGAGCTCAAGATAAACAGTCCTAGAGATCCACTGGGATATCTTGCAACGGTGAACATTTTTTCTCCTTTTCAAGTAAAAAGTTTGATTTTAAATATAAGTACACTGTCTAATTTATTTCAAAAGAGATATTTCCAGGACCTATTCCATTCCTTGTAAACAATTGAGATTTTTCCACCAGTTGAGATGCAATTATACAAGCTCTAAAAATAGAAGAGGGAAAACCAAGTAAATGACTCACGTCGATGATTCACCTCCTTTTATTCATCCAGTTTCTTTAAGGTTTGTTTACAAAGGATAATGTTAGAAATTTTGGAAGGAGCATTTAAATTCTTTTCAAACCTTACGTACTTAATTTTCTCAAGACATTTCTGCAGAAATTACTGAACATGAAAGAAAAATGGGGAAACATTTTGGAACTCTACTGATATTTTTTTCTTTTAAATGATTGACTTAAAAGGAAACAGCTACTGAAAACAAAAGGCAAGGCAGTTGAAGTACTTAAAGAAAGTAGCAAGAGCTTAGAGACTCCTGACCAAACACTAAAATTTCTGTTTATCTATGACAGAAAAAATTTCAAAAACTGTAAACTACCAGAGACCATGGTAGGTACAAATAGTTACTCTGTGCATGTTTTCTGCTTACCTTTATAGGTGAATTATAAATATTTCTTGGTTAATAATTACCAGGATTTCCATAATTTCTTCATCTTCCTTGACACTTTTGCTTTTCCATGACTCTGAAATACCTGAATCCTGCAAGTTTTCCCGCTTAAACTTTTTACCTCAATTGAACTGACTTTAGCCAAACTCTGGGCGAAATACCCATTCCTTGAGATTCAAATTGTGAAAAAGGCACTTATAAGTTATCTGCGCTCTCTCAAGGGACACCTGCTGCAGTTGCCCGGCCGCCATGCTACTTGAAAAATTTCCTGACTTTTCCTGGCCTTCCATGGTTTTCCAGACCACAGGAAACACTGATTACTTCGAATGTAATCCGTCTTTTTCAATCCCAAAATTCACTCCCTAGAATTTTAATCCGATGAATTGTGGCACAGTTGAGTTGAAACAAGTGCATCCTTGAGAATCAAGTACAAAAATCACTTCTTGGCTAATTAACCTTGACCTCCGGAGACAAACCTGTGAGCCTCTAGTCTCTCTACTTATCATGACACCTTATCAAAGTTGCCATTCTTGGCTTTGACATTGGAGAATGGGATCCTGTCTGCCTCGCTACAATTCTGCTATGTATTTCAAAACAAAATAAATTTTCTTGGTAGAAATTGCCTCTTAAATATTAGGGAAAAGGAATCATACATGATGCATGACATCATCTTCTTCCTCTCCTTTCTTCATTTTGGTTGATTCATCTTTCATTTCATCATCCTCTTCTTCCGCTTCTTCCTCCTCCAGTTCAACTTCGAAGAAAAATGGAGCTTTTTCAAAACCAGGAAGGGTCCTACACAGCTGGAACAGTGCCAATGCTTCACTAGGAGATAGATCACTGAAAAGTGTAAATATTCCATGGCCTTGATTTATCACTTTCGGACCACAATTTGGAAACCACCTCCTGGAAAAAAATCAGACAAAATTAGGGGATGCTGATGAAGAATTTTGTTTTTAGTCCACCATGATTAAGGGAGTTCTTCAGCACTTTGGAGAGTGAATCAATGGTCAATCGATCAATTGATAATTCGGGATTTTAAGGAATTTCTTCAGAATTTCCAAGCATCATATCACACTGATGTTTTAGTAATTTATAGCTATAACGGCGTAAATATACACAAAATTTGATCAAAAGCACTTTGAAATAACTCTGAAAGTATGATCGGGTGGAAATCGTAAATTGGAAGATAGTAAACGATTTGCAATTTTACATGGGCTGGCATAGAACAGCCCACTCCCCTTAATAGCTATGAGCTGAGGTTTAATGTTCATAGAAGGACAAAGAAAAAAATCTGGGGTATTGGAAGATAGTCAAACTATCAGGCTAGAGCCATCAGCTTGTCTCAATCGGGATCAACAGACAAAGATTGTCAATAAGGAAGGAGAAAAAAACCAATCTGATTTTTTAAATTGTTTTAGTTTCTACTTACTCTAGAATAGGAATGACAGGAAAATTTGGACGGCGGAAAAACTGGCATATGAACTTCTGATAAAGTTCCACAGTCTCTAGGTCTCCAAACATTCTGTAGAAATCTCTCTTTCCACTGATTTTGACTAAGTACATATAATTTGTATCCAATCTTTTCAGCTATAAACACAGAGAAAGTAAAAAAATAAATGTGAATAAAACGAAAGGAATGGTTTTTCTAGAAATTAAGTAGTGAAACAAGAATTAGGTCAAATCAGTCAATCAAGTTGAGACTGAGAATTACTCAACACTACAATAATTAATTGCATTGTGGATCAATTAGAAATACAAGTTTAAAAAAAAATAAACTTCAGTAAAATTAAACAACCATGCTAAGTTATTAAAATGAGTAATGAAAAGTTATGAAATTCCTTGAAATGCAATATGACAAACATGCAAAGTACACCTTTTATTCAACAATTAGTGGGTGGCAAAACATCGAGGATGAAATTGCCACCTGCACACTCACCGATGAGATTTTAAAGAGACGATTTGAGAGTGCCTTTCAGGTTTTAATGATACAAATGTATGAAAGACATAATCCAATTGTAGTTCCAAGCCAGAGAACACCCCCAAAAAAATCCTATTTAATTCCATTAGTGATATCTTACTCTATAGTATAAAATCATAAGAGTGCCGTGTCACGCTGAGGGTGTAACGCTAATCATGTCACAAACCGGTTTCTCCTCCACTCCCCGCTCCCCTCCCGCCGCGCACGCTCACATGCTTCCCGCCGTCTCCAAACCGGGTTTTCCCTAACTCTTAATGATCTTTTAACGATCTCACGATATCTGCTAATTAGAGGCGCGAAGCGCCTCTGGGGGGTTGGACCGCGGAGCGGCCAGGGGGCGCAGCCCCCTAGTTAATTATAAGCTGATTATCTGTACTTGAATGCTACTGTCTCTAAAGCAAAAATTCAACATTTGAGACCTCAACTTTTTCTGCCCACCTGCAAATGCCTGTGGTGGGAAGGCACCAACTCAAAGCTCCTCGCATAGATCATATACTCTTCTGAGGATTTCATTGATTGACTAGGAGGGTGCCCTCCGGGCCACTTTGGGGCCCCGACTCTCTCTGGGCCCTTGGTGCCCCTGATATATAAGAAAAACTAATTCATGAATCAAACATTTCTGGCCAGACTTCAATATGAATTTCATCATTTGAATAATTTCCCCCTCATTTTGAATTTAAACTGGTACTTTCACCAATATCTAATTAGGTATAAGCTAGGGAAATTGGCACGGGAGGGAACAAGGAGGAGAAAAACCGGTTCGTGACATGCTAGGCCTACGAGTATAGAGAGTGATAAATGCATGGATTTTAGGGGAAAAAAATTAGCGAGATCGAAAGCATACCTTTGATCTCCATGTGTTCCGAGCTGATCCTTTATAGGTGTGCCAAGGAAGAAAACTGGCTCTACTTAATTCATCTAGAATTTCAAAGTCAAACACTGTTTGAAACAAAATTGCTTTGTGGCGGTACATTTCTTTTTTGTGGTCAGGTGCGGTAATGTAAGGCTGAAATCAGGAGAGATTGTGTCAGAAAATTTTGATCACTTGGTTTGAAAATTCTCTATTTCTAGAGTCATACCATAATGGCGCCCAGTCATAGTTCATTGCATCTCTCCTCTGACGTAAAGGCGTATCTTGATTTCCGCATGAGCTCTAGAAAGCGTGGATTTATATGTGAAACAGGGTTCACTTGGAAATCGAGACACGCCCTCACGTCAGAGGAGTGACGATTTCTTACATCCGTAAAAAGTGTATTATGTATTACAAACTATGTTATAAATGTGTGTACAAATTTTTGTACATTATTTGGCTGGTATTTTGTTGAGAGCCTGGAGCCATCAGAGGACATAAGAAATTATCATAAACACGTCCATAATCTAGGATTTTTTCAAATTTTTGTATAACTGGGATGAGAGCAATCTGAAACGGTAGACCCTTTTATTGAATCTATGAAAATTTGGTGCCACTGCTGGGACTCAAATCCAGAATATTTTGTCCTAGAGTCAGATGTACTGACCAGTAGGCCAACCTGGCTGGCAACCCTCAGAACATGATATCATCCTGAATATTTCTGGACAAGTATACAAATCCTGGGAATCAGAGAGGAAATTAAATCTCAATTCATTCTATAATCAAAAAATTAATCTACAGTTTTAATCTTTTACACCTATTTGTGGGGTGATAAGTTGTTTTTGAGGGCCAATTTGACCTATGTTGATTTTGGTTTTATGGTGAACGGGGAGTGTGAATTTTTAATTCCATCAGGGACTATAAATACTGATTGCCTCATCATACCTTAATTTCTAAAACATGATCCGCGTGAAATTTTGAAAAAGGATCATATTATATGATTCTTTAATTCTTACTATTTTTGGTGGTTTTTAAAAGTGAGAGAGTACTTAATCACAAAAAAAAACATACTAAAAAATAGCCATAATGCATACCACAAGCTGTGATGGTGGTATAATACAGTACATTTCTGGACGTCCATATGAAGGAAGACCCACTTTTCGGTAGCAGTCATAGATAAGATGAATTAGAAACTTCTCCTTTGGTATACCTAAGATAATTTTTAGAGAATCTGAAAAAAAACGGTCAACTCTTTAAGATGAAAAACGCTCTATTGGTCAGTTGCGCTGGTGGAGAATACTGTTCTTATGTTTGATTCTTCTAGATTAGTTAAAAAAAATAAAATCTGTCCAAACAGCAACTTTTTAAATTCAATATTGATCAAGATATCGCGTTTGAAAACAAGGTGAAAGAAACCAAGGGTGTCATTATCGCTGTGGATGACATCATAAACAGCATTTTTGAATGCACAATATCTGGGTTAATATTCAACGTAGAAAGTTGCTGTTTGAACAAATCTTAATATTTTTAGCTAGGCGACAAGAATCAAGCATCAAAACATGATTCTGAAACCAGTGCAACAGGCCCATTCTCTTTGAATTACACTCAAATGGGCTTAAAACATTTAATTCTTGTCATGTTTCATGAGCAATAGGGCCTTGGCTACTAAAACAAAATTTTCCGCATAAACTACCCAGTCAAATAGACTGAAACTTTGGTGTTTGAGCTTTTACGTGAAATCACTCTGGTATCTCTGCAGACAAGCTTAGTAAGATTTGATTAATTTTTGTACGGATATTTTTGCACTTCTTTCCCTTTTCACAAATTTCTGATACACATGCTTAAAATTTTTTTCTATCTTTTTCTTGTGTTCACAAATCTCCAGTAGATCAAGTACACAGAGGATCACCAGACAAGGTCTGAACTGGATATAATGAAGCGTGTTTTCTTTTCAAAATCTTACCTAGAGTACAATTGAGAGGCAGATAAAAATTCCAGTAGCAACTCTTGAGCAAGATATCGACAAATATTTTCACATGGATCAAAAGAGAGATTGATTAAATGAATATGACATCATTTGTATTTTTGCCAGTAACTCAATGTTAATAGTAAAAACTTCCATGTTAGGGTGTTGTTTCCCAAACCTCCTATCGTGTGAGTCAAGTTTTTTTTTTTTTTTTCTTTGTGAAAGTTTGAAGAGAAAACAAATTGTGCTCCAATTCATACCTCGTCTCGAGGCCGATTGGAGCAAGAGCTCCTGCTGAATTAAAAGCCTGTTTAAATTTGAACTAGGGTTGATATTGTAATCAAAATACCTATGAGGGTAATCTAAGCATTAATCATGATGGGTAATCAGAGTTTTAATCCACTAGTTACTTTAATTAACCTCCCAGCAAGTTCACCATTTGTTTCTTATGTCAGTTTCCTGACTAAGAAAAGTGCTTTATCTAAATCAGTCATTTTTAAAGTAACTCATCTTCTTTCCTCAAGAAATTTTTTCCTCGCTCTCTCTCTCTCTTTGATGGCAAGTATTTTTGATCCTCAATTTGTCACCTCCTAGCTAAAGTATATCTCAAAAGAGTAAAATTATTTACGGAAAAACTAAAGCGCAGATCACTTCAAAATTTTATCCAATATGTCTTTCGTCCCCATTGACGTATAATACAATCTAGACCGCACATTAGGAAATTTCGGCGAGACTAGAGTCCCTTCAGGCGAGACGATAGGCAACCCAGCAAGTGTGCCGGCAATATGTACCGAGACAATGGAAATGCCAGTCTTGCCATTGCCGCGCCGTTGCCTGGTATGCTTCGTTCGTATATCCGGCTGTATCAACTAAGCTGAAGGCGCGTCTTTACCCTGATTTACCCCGCTACCTGTCTTACCTCCCCCGCCTAAAGCCGGGCCTAGTGCGCGGTCTAGATTGTGTTATAGGTCAATGTTCGTCCCTGACATTTTCATGGAAGTATGAAAAGTTTCAAAGAAAGAACCAAAACGTTATTGAAACGCCTGGTAACAAAGCATCAAAGCGTAAATGGTGCCTGCGATACTTTGACTAGAATGTGATATATTTTTTAATAAAAGCAGACTGACAAGCTTAAAAAATTATTCTTGCTGTCAGTAGGAAAAATGGAAGAAGTTAGGTTTGTCTCGGTTCATTCGTCATAAAATCATCGGTTTATCTGAAGGGGTCCACAAGGAGGGGAAAGCTAGCCTGCCTAGAAACACTATAATCATCACAAAAAATAAAAATTTTTGCTTCACTCATGCACAAAATTAAATTACCGGATTCCCAGTCTTGCGGTTTGATATTTCTTAACACTGCTTCAGTACGAGAACCATTATCTATGTAATCCTGCCTTACATAGATTGGCAACTGCAAGAAGTTATTAAGTTGAATGGACAAAATATGTGGGTGCTGGGATTGTATTTCCTGGAACATAAGACACAATATTTCAAGGGTTGCAGCATAGTAATGGACCACTAGACAAGGCACGAATTCAAGCATTCTGATACATGTTTCTTAATCAGAATTTCACGTAGAACACGATTTGCGCAACGAAAATTACTGAAATTAACTCCTGACGAAGATATTAACCTTTTTATTTCACATTGGTTACGCGGATTTTGAACTGCCCGCTGACAAGAAACTCAAAGCTCTACGCGAGTCAAATCGCGCACTACAACAGTTTCAGCAAGCCTCTTAATCGAGCACTGTTCATTTCCCACCATGTGTTGTTCAAATTACGAGCAATTTGCTATAGCTGAGCCAAAGCGTCAAAATTGTCGTTGCCAGATTTCATATCGCAGAGACTGTCACGATAATATTCAACGCGCGATGTGAATCACGTAGAGCATTGTGTTTTATTGAGCGGGTGGTTTGAATTCACGCATCAGGAATCATTAAATATCTTTGTAAGGAGTTGATTTCGGTAATTTTTGTTGTGCGCATTGTGTTCTACGTGAAATTTTGGTTAAAAAACATGTATCTGAATGCTTAAATTCATACCTTGTCTACTGGTCCATTCTGACGTACATTTTGAACAAAAACCAAAAAGTTCATCAAGATGTTTAAAAATCATTTCAAAGGGAAGAAAAATTTAATGGAAATCCAAACAATCAGGGGCCAACGGTAGAATTGAGGGGCCTGGAAGACAAGGTGCACAAGTGCAGTTTTTTGAGACTGGAAATTAGAGCCCAGCCGCCTCAGCTGCATGCCATGGCTTGTTATACTTGTATTTCAACAGGTGAGATACAAAAGAGACTCGGCCTCACTAAAAGCACATTAGATAAAAACAGGAAGGAAAGGCAAAGGGGAAACAGAAATCCAGACCATTTCGTTTTGAAAAAGGAAGGATGGAAATAAAAATAAAATCGTGTGCTCAGAAGCATGTCTTTTACCAAAATTGGGCTGTGTGTGTTTTTTTTTTTAGTTGAAGGTAAGGTCTATCAGAATACCTTGCAATTTTGTCTGGAAGTCATTTGATGCGGAGAAAAGGCGAATGGGATGAGTGCATTTTTCATTTAGAGGGGATGCGGGATAAGTGCGACTTACCATCACTTCAAGCCCAACTGCAGGCCTTAATTTGGCTCAACTGAGCTGAAAATTTCCGAGAATATTCATGAAGGTGTGAGACAAACACTTGTGAATTTTGAGGGTATTCGAAGCACACTACAGGTTCAAGTAAAATCTAGAACTTATCAAAATAATAAAAACTGCAGTTATGCACCTTGTCTTCCAAGCCCCTCAATTGACATAGCAAAGAAATGTCTGCAGCTAAATACAGCCAAATAGCAAATGCTGTTTCCCTTGCCTGGCTACATCATCAGAGCTCACCAAAAATATTATTTAAAAAGGGTCCCATTTAAGGAATTTTTAAAACTGGATTTCTTTGTTATTTAGGGTTGAAAAAATCGGAAAAAATACTTGGTAGCTTATTTTACAGTATACTTTGAAAACTGAATTAAAATAACTGGATCATGGTCTTTTTTGGTCTGTTATGCTCGCGGAATTTTGACCAAAGTGTGATGATAAGTATCATTATCTGAAATGCATTACCTCCATGTGTGCAACAAAAGGTTCAGTGCCTTCAAAAATCCTCAATTGATAACCATGATTCAATAATTTCTCAGTGAGTAGCCCGGGTCCAGGGTTGACTTCTATCACATACTCACATGTAGTCGGAATATGCTTTATTATGTGACAGAAAAGTTTATCTAGAAAAAAGAACAGTGACAATACATGGATAAAGATCAGATAAAAATGATTACTTAACAAACACTTCAAAAAACAAGAGTATACAATCAAATCCAGATTCTTCCTTGAAAGATATCAAGCTGAGAGAGAAACAGAGATTGTTCAACTCTTCGTTTGAGAACTTTCCCTTCTCGCAGAATTCATACCTGCTGAAAATTTTGTAGCTAAATCTGCTAAGAACAAACTTTAAAATAATTTTTACCTGAATGAACTAAACCACAGTAGGTAATTAATTTAACTGAAGCACTTTTCTTCAAAGTGATAGAAATCTTGTAAAAAAATTTAAGTAAAGAATAAAATGAAGTCAAACCTGCAGTGGGCTCCTCTGCTAAATAGAAAAGGTCTACACTATGTCTGACAGTCCAAAACTGCTTTGGAATAATGAAATAAGTTGATTTAAGATGTTCGTTCAAAGTATAATAGTCCATCATTTCTCTTCTTCGAGATCTTTTCTTTTTACTCGGAACTACATCAGCTTCTGTAACACTTTCTAAAGATGACTTGACTTTAATCTCTGATCTTTCCCATTTCCCTGGTTTGTCAGGGTAATAAGCTTTGTGGGAGCAGCAAATGCTGGAGCTAAAATTTGAAATCCTAGAAGGACATCTCGAGATCAACGAGTCCAATTTGCTCGTAAACATTGCTTTAAAGCAAGTGCTAACCATAGGATTTAGCCGAAACCATACCGCAGGCACACAATTGAGCATTTTTAGATCCTATTTGGATCACAGCTAATGAGATAGGTTTTCAATATTGATATATCTGGGAGGCAATTTGCAAATCATCATTATTGCATCTACATCAGGATGACATGAATAACGGCTCGACCATCCCTGATTCACTGGGCTGCATGATCCTGAAGATTCATAGCTTCACCATAAACTTTCGAGAGGAATCACTTTGCTTCACTTGAAATTCATGAATTACAGTTTACAGGTAAAATAAAACCACTGCGATACAAAAATGGTACAAAAACACAATGATAGTCAAAGTCAATGATATTAGAGATTAGAGAGGTGGGCTCACATGGGATATCTTCGTAGTTCGTGGGGCACCGTTACTGATATAGGTTAGCTATTATGTTTACGTATGAAGCCTCGTAGCTTTACAGCTAGGTAGCGTCTAGGTAGCGTTGGCACTACGGGCTCAAGAGTAAACATCCTTGGGTACGGCTGTTCTCTGTTATCAATAAAATAAAAATCACAGAAAGTTTCGACGCGTTACTCTCGTTTTTTTCATTTTCTTCAATCAAACAACGAATGAAATACAGTTAAATTTTTTGAATCGTTACAGTTGAAATGCATATTTCCATTTCAACTGTAGTAAAACAGGGCAAAAAGCGATAATAATGACACGTATTCTTAGGTTTGCTGCGATTTCATCGTCGTGACGGCCAGGAAAGGGAACACGGCTGCGTGATCTTCGCAATGTGACGCGCCTTCAATCCGGCTGGCTGCAACATGCCTACGTCCGTGGTCAAATAGTTGTATCATTGCGCCTGCCGTGAATGAATCAAAATACCGACGGCTGCACGCGAATCAAAGAGTATTTATATCCGATTGTAACGTTGCTCTCATCTACGAATGTTTTATTTTTAATCGATGATTTTTACAAAGCTTCCGGCAGTTTTCTGAAGGCCTTTCGTAAATTTTCCGAAATTATTTAAAAATAAAAATCGCAACAAGCTTTGACGCGATTTTTTTGTTTTTTATCTTCTTAAACAGAAAAAAGAATCAAGTGCGGTTCAAGTTTTTAAAGCGTTACAGTTGAAATACATTTTTCAACTGAAATATGTGAGGAATAATGACGCGTAGTCCAAGGTTTGATGCGATTTCATCGTCGTGACGGCCAGGAAAGGGAACACGGCCGGGACATCTTCGCAATGTGACGCGCCTTCAATCCGACTGGCTGCAACATGCCTACGTCCGTGGTCAAATAGTTGTATCATTGCGCCAATGCGCCTGCCGTGAATGAATTGAAATACCAACGTTTGCACACGATCAAAAGCGTATTTATCTCCGATTGTAACGTTGCACACATCTACTGATGTTTTATTTTTAATCGATGTTTTTTACAATACTTCCTGTCGTTTTCCGAAGGTTTTCCGGAGATTTTCTGAAATGATTTAAAAATAAAAATCACAGAAAGTTTCGACGCGTTACAATCGTTTTTTTTTCATTTTCTTCAATCAAAAAACGAATAAAATACAGGTAAATTTTTTGAATTGTTATAGTTGATATACATATTTCAATTTCAAGTATAGTAAAACAGGGCAAATAGTGAAAATAATGACCCGTATCCTTGGGTTTGCGGCGATTTCAGAGTTGCGCGACAGTCAGGGAAAGGAACACGGCTGCGGGATCTTCGCAGTTTGACGCGCCTTCAATCCGGCTGGCTGCAACATGCCTACGTCCGTGGTCAAATAGTTGTATCATTGCGCCTGCCGTGAATGAATCGAAATACCGACGGCTGCACGCGAATCAAAGAGTATTTATATCCGATTGTAACGTTGCTCTCATCTACGAATGTTTTATTTTTAATCGATGTTTTTTGCAAAGCCTCCCGCAGTTTTCCAAAGAGCTTCCGTAAATTTTCCGAAATTATTTAAAAATAAAAATCGCAACAAGCTTTGACGCGATCTTTTTGTTTTTTATCTTCTTAAACAGAAAAAAGAATCAAGTGCGGTTCAAGTTTTTAAAGCGTTACAGTTGAAATACATTTTTCAACTGAAATATGTGAGGAATAATGGCGCGTAGTCCTAGGTTTGATGCGATTTCATCGTCGTGACGGCCAGGAAAGGGAACACGGCCGGGACATCTTCGCAATGTGACGCGCCTTCAATCCGGCTGGCTGCAACATGCCTACGTCCGTGGTCAAATAGTTGTATCATTGCGCCTGCTGTGAATGAATTGAAATACCAACGTTTGCACGCGAACAAAAGCGTATTTATCTCCGATTGTTACGTTGCACACATCTACTGATGTTTTATTTTTAATCGATGTATTTTACATATTATTTTACATATATTATTGCTTCCTCTCGTTTTCCGAAGGTTTTCCGGAAATTTTCTGAAATGATTTAAAAATAAAAATCACAGAATGTTTCGACGTGTTACAATCGTTTTTTCATTTTCTTCCAATCAAAAAACGAATAAAATACAGGTAATTTTTTTGAATTGTTATAGTTGAAATACATATTTCAATTTCAATTATAGAAAAACAGGGCTAATAGTGAAAATAATGACGCGTATCCTTAGGTTTGCGGCGATATTTCAGAGTTGCGACAGTCAGGGAAAGGAACACGGCCGAGACATCTTCGCAATGTGACGCGCCTTCAATCCGGCTGGCTGCAACATGCCCACATCCGTGGTCAAATAGTTGTATCATTACGCCTGCCGTGAATGAATTGAAATACCAACGGCTGCACGCGAATCATAGCGTATTTATATCCGATTGTAACGTAGCTCTCATCTCCTAATGTTTTATTTTCAATCGATGTTTTTTGCAAAGCCTCCCGCAGTTTTCCAAAGAGCTTCCGTAAATTTTCCGAAATTATTTAAGAATAAAAATCGCAGATAATTTTGACGCGAGATTTTCCTGTTTTGATATTTCGCATAACGTGTATTTATCTCCGATTGCACGGTTGAATATTTTTTCTTTTATTCAATTCTCTTGAAAAATTTAAACCATAGATAATTCTCATAACATTTGCCGACTTCGAATTTTCCAAAATCATTTCAAACATACTGACAGAAAATTTCAAAGCGATTTTTTGATTCTTTCTCCTTTCAATCCAAAATAGTTAAACATGGTCCGTGTTTCTAACGATGCAGTCAATATTTTCCCCTTAAATGCGATGAAAAGAGGAAGGGAGTCGAGAACCATGACGCGTAGCCCCTTGTTAGGTGGCGCTAGTCGTGTCATTTTCGCTAGGAAGTTAGTGTTTCGCATGTTATGCTAGGAAGGGAGCCTTTTTGGGGCTCATGCCTCCTCCGTCTCTTTGATAAAGCAACTCTCCGAGTGGTCCATTCCATTACGTCCAAACAATCTACGCAAACTTGACGCATATGACGTACGACGCCAGCGACGCAAGCGTGACGAATTTTTTGCAGCACCTCGCTCAGTGTACCTAAATGTCACTACACCTTTTAAGCCCCACGCAAATAGCTGGCGTTCTCACATAGATGGAACACTCCTAAAGAGATATTTTTTCCCGCAGCATTGTCCCACACAGCTATGATTTAATGCCGAATGAGTGCTGTGAGTGGGAAAGCTACGTAAAAAAATTCAACGAGAGGATGTGCCGCGAGAAAATCGTCGTCTCCTGGACGAAAGGACGTAACTCCATTTCAATGTTGCCAAATTTCCCCTCGCAAATTGCCTATTAATCAAGAGAATCTTGGGCATTTCTGACTGAGAATTTCCCTGATTTTTCTCCAGATTCCAAGCAAAAAACCAACCAATTTTGGATAAAAATTGCTTACGTACATTTTTGTAAAATAAATTAATTTTTCGAGTCAATTTGGCAACCTTGGAATGGAGTTACGTTCCTTCGTGCTGGAAACGACGAAATGACGACGGTTGAGAGAGACGACCGTTGTCGTGTTCAAACTATTTTTTCTCAAGTGGAAATTCAGACAGGAGGAAAGCAACCTAAATGGATTCAGAACTATATATACTCCCAACTCCTTTTTTTCCCCAGAATGCGGCTTAGTGCGTTTCCATCGAACTCGGTCCAACCAGAGGGAAAATAATATTAAATGGCAAGGCAAACCCTGAAAAATAAAAACTAATTGTTGAATGTATTAGAATTTTTATATATTTCCTAATATAGCATAAAAAATTGACGCATCCCTTTGTGTGTTCACGCAGGTGGTGAAACTTTCTTTTTTGATTCTTAAAGTCAAAGTTTCAATCTTACGGTCATCCCTGCTTACATGAGTTGAATGTTAACATAGATATTGATAGTAATTGAATCGAGTCGTGTGAAAACCGCTAATGTCCATTTTCCCAGTCTTGAGTTTCTGTGGTTTGATAATACTTATCAGAGTTAAATGCAACCCCAAAACATGGGTGGCATGAAGCGTAAAGAAAGAAATAAAAGAGTGGAAATTTCAGTAAAATCTTTCATGAAATTTCACGAGACTGTGAAATATTTCATACTTCTTTTTCTGTTCCATTTTTTCAGCTACTTGTCATTTTCCTCGACTTTGAGATCGCAATTCTGCCGTCAGGAGACTAAAGAATTCACCAATTTTGACAAACAAATTCAACGTAATAAAAGACGTGGATTTTTTAAAGGAAAAATATCGCATTCGATACTGACATCGAACCTGCTCCCGAATGCAATATTTTTCTTCTAAAAAAACCACACCTTTATTACGTTGAATTTGTCTGTCGAAATTGGTAAGTGAATTTTTTAGTCTCCTGACAACAGAATTGCGATCTCAAAATTCGAGAAAAATGACAAGAGGCTGAAAAAATGGGACTAATCGATACGATATACTCCATTTCGTTCTGACACCAAATAATAGCGTCCATCGAATAAACTTTAAGCGCTTTTTCTTTAAATTTTCTTTTGCTAATTGCTTTATGGATTCCTTGAAATGAAATGCGCGAATGTTTAAAACGCGCCCAGAATTCGGATGGACGAGAGGAGCTGGGTATATGCAGAAAGTGAAAAATATCTCACCAACCCGAGAGGTAAAAAAAAAAAAAAAAAAAAAACTGTTTAGCTTGATTTATAGCTGAGAATGTAATAACAGAATTTTCACCGTTTTGCTTTAACTGTAATTTTCACGGGGGAAAATAGCGAAACTCGCGCAATAGGAGACCCTCGTGAAATGGAAAAAACTAACTTAAATTAGAAAGAGGAAAAAGAAACACTTTCAGCCGTAGGAACAGTGCTACATCCATTAATTTTTTTAACTGGCGTGATATCAATCAAAGCGTCCTTTTAAGAGATGCCATAATGCAGTCAGTGGCGAGGCGTGAATGATCGACTATCGACATTTCCCCATTTGAAGCTATGGTAAAGATCGATTATCAAGGTGTTCGTCGCTAACACCGTGTTTATATATCCTTTTCCGTAGGTTTAAATGTCAGATCAATCGATATATCGCAAAGCATGCCATGCCACTGATAATGCTACCTAAGGAAATAACCTGGGGGAGAACTGGCGAAGGATGTCAGTCGTACAGCATTTTAAGTATATCGACGGTGTAATTCGACAATCACATACCTAACTCGTTTGCGGTGTCTGAAAATCTCCGCCTCTATGTTATTTTTTTAAAGGAGAACAAATTGGCATCATTCCTTGAAGTTTACGCAGAATTTTCTTCGCACAGAGAAGAAAAATCACGGCAGTTTATGTGATTGCCGACTTACACGGTCGATATTCATTACTTTCTATCCCCATGTTTACTAAATATTAAATTGATTATTGTCGAATGAATTCAAGCGGATGATCAACGCTATTTTTCGGCTTAAGATGATCAATGAGAACTCGTTGAATGGAAAATCAGGTAAAATTAGTCAAATTATGACTAATGTATGATGGGGTGGACACTATGTTAGGCTATCAAGGCTTGAATTGAATCGTGCGAAAACCGCTAATGTCCCCGCCCTGTCAGCACAAAGCGGTTTTCGTCAGTTGCGAACAATGTGAGATTCCAACTGGAGGCACATTGAACCAATATACAAGGTACGAATTTAAGCACTCTGATACCTACATGTCTCCAAAGTAAAATTTCATGTAAAACACGATTTTCGCATCGAAAATTACTGAAATCAACTCCTGACTAAGATATTATCTTTTTTATTTTATCGGTTGAGCACAGGGGATAATTTCATGAGCCACCGCCCACCCGCGGTGCACTATGGTCCAAAACTCAAGAATAGGAAGAAATCCGTCGGACAATAACTGAAAGATCACGAAAGTATCGTAACAGATGTTTTTGAAGTCGCTAATTTCGAATTTGATGTCAAATTGCCTACATTTTAACACCCTGACCTATAAATTGTGGGCAAGTTTATGGCGCGCGGCGTGCCCCCAGCTCGAAACGCGCACTGACGCCTTCAAACCTAAGGGAATACTTCAAGCATTGCGCAATGCGTGAAGTAGCCTATTAGGTTTGTAGGCGTCAGTGCGCGGTTCGCGCTGGCCGCGGCTTTCCCGGCGCGCGGCGGGCGGGTGGTCGGGGTGGTGTCCGATTTTTTGCAGGGAGAGCTCCCTGGCGAAGAAACTCGTGTATCGTGTAATTTTTTTCTCTTTTTTTCTCTAATTTTCGCATTTTAAAATTACTCACCGGTCGTGTGAAGTAATTAGTGAACTCTCAACGCTGGAAGTGTAATAATGAAAGGCGGGTCGTGCGCTGCGAACGGCTCATGGAATTCTCCCTTGTGCTCCGTCGTTATTTTACACTTGTTACGGGTTTGAATTGCCGCTCACAAGAAACTCAATACTATACGTGATTCCAATCGCGCTCTACAACGGTTTTGGCAGGCTTCTCAATCCAGCACTGTTCATTTTCCACCCTGTATTTTTCAAACTATAAACAACTTGCTATAGGTAGCTAAGCCAAAGCGTCAAGATTGAGGTTGCAATCTTCATACCCCTAAGACTGCCTTGGTAAAGATTAGTGTGCGATTTGACTCACGTAGACCATTGTGTTTTCATGTGAGGGTGTCTCGAAGCGTTAAATTATCTAGTTAGGAGTTAATTTCAGTAATTTTTGTTGCATAATTCGTGTTCTACGTAAAATTTTGGTCAGGAATCATGTATCAGAATGCTTAACTTCGTACCTTGTCCAGTGATCCATTTGCGGACTTCACTAGAAATAATGCCCACAACATTAGCAGGAAAAACCGCTACCTACAGGGTTATTCAAAAGTCACGCACCACTGGCCATAACTTTAGTTCTAATTATGACATCGACTTGCGGTTAAAGACGTTTTTCCTCATATCGAGGGGGAAACTTTTTTAGGTCCTTTCCAGTTCTTGATCCCCTCGGGGGGCGGGGGGGCAACTCAAAAATTTCAAATGGCCACCCCTGCTCTCATGGCCAGTGGTGCTTGACTTTTGAATAACCCTGCCTGTATGTCCGCGCCTGCGTCTCATTCGACGAATCGGTCTGCATATCGACGGTGTCAGTCGGCAATCGCATAACTCGGTTTGCGACGTCGCAGACTTCCTGTCATACTTCATTTTTTAAAACGAAAAACTACTCAACGGCAATTCTTCAAAACTGCAGTAATTTTTCTTCTCTGTTCGAAGAAAATTATGCAAAAACCTCAAGGAATAATGTCAATTTGTTCTCCTTTAAAAAAAATAACATAGAGGCGGAGATTTTCAGACACCGCAAATGAGCTATGTGATTGCCGACTTACACCGTTGATATGTCCTGCGAGAGAAAAATGCGATTCCGATGTGACAAAATACGGCTCGTTTAAATGTTCTGTCACTTATTTTTTGTTCCTTCCTGTTTCCACGTCACCGCACACGCAAACTTGAGTCGGTATAAAACGACAGTCCATCAGCAAAGAGCGAGTTTACTCGTTCCTAATGCGCAAAATTCACCCGATGTTCGGATTTCAGCTCCTGAGTTTGATTTTTATCACCGGCCAAGTGTCGTGCGGTGGTAACATACCTTCAAAAGGAAGCGATTCTGAAGCTTATGTCAGTGCGCCTTGGAAGATTGTCAACAGTTCAATCTGGCGGGCTCCTTCCGCCAGAGAAGATGGACCCCTCGTGAGTACAAATCTGCATGATATACCTATATGCTATACGCTATTTTGTCGTCTATCTCTCTCGCACACATTGATCAGCGGGTCGATTATTGAAATTGATAGACGAAACTATAGACAAAGAAGATAAAGGGGATACGAAGGGATCCTAATGGTGGACGCGAGTGGTTGCAATGGACAAAGGAGGTATGTGATAAACGAACTAACGGCAACCGACGAGAGACCCTATAGTTAGTTCATCCTTTTCTCCCTCAGTCTGTAGGAACCACCCATTTCAAACAATAGGATCGCGCAATTCCTACGATACGATATCCTCTTTGATCTTTGTCTATTACTTAGTCGATCAATTTCAATAATCAGCCCGCAGATGCGGTACTCTTAGGCTCGTCAAAGGGACATTTGCGGGGTGATTGTTGAATATAATAGACAGAACTATAGACAAAGACGACAAAAGGGATTTGGAGGGATCCTGTCGCCCCTATCGGTGGAATCGGGTGATTGCAGTGGATAAAGAAGGTAGATAATAGACCAACTCACGGTAACCTTCGAGAAACCCTACAGTTAGTCCTTCATTTTCACAAAAGTATTTATCAGACTTTACCATATGCTAAAGTTTCGCCGGTGGTAAAGAAAATCATTAGCGCATATTTAAGCTTGTGATTTTACAGATTTCTCGTCGTATTTCATCGCTGCGAATGACGGTCTGGTGGTGATGTTCTTGTTTAAAAGAGGTTGTTCCAAAAACGCCGATTTTGGCCCCCCCCTGGATTTAGCCCAAACTTTGTTCAGATGTTGTACTAAGTGTCCCTGATGCTTGGGCAAAATTTCAGCCCCCTCGGATAATTAGGGGGGAGGGGGAAGGGGGGCAAAGTTGCAATTTTTTTAAAACTTTAAAAATCGATATCTCGCAAACGGTTTGAGTGTAAGTGTTGCGGTTTGCGCTAAAAAACGTCAAAAAATATTCTCTACAAGAATATTAATGCTGTTTGCAAAAGGTTGCGTAATTTATCGCGGTCATAAATCGATTTTTTCGATTTTGAAGGTTCGACTTTTTTTCGTTTTTCGTCTCTCCTCTCTTTGGAATCGTTGCTACGTGAATGAAAACCTGTTGAGGTGATTCTTCATAAAATTCTGCATCTATCACACTTGGTTTGATCTTGGGAAAACGATTTGTTCGTGAGTTATAGCGATTTTTCTGCGCGTTATCGGTTACGCGCGGGCGGCTTATCGGCGGCGCTCCATCCCGCGCGGGCAAGGCAGAGGTTGTTTCATCGCTAGGGCCTTATATTCATGCTGTAGGCTGTAATTAACGATATTTTCTCCTCCCCCCACCCTTGCCTCCCCCTTTTACCCCCCGAGGGTGGCTAGGGGGGCATCGGGACCGTGAAATTCGGATTCCTTGGGGTCAATTCCCTATTCAATCCCGCGGCCCCCCACTTCGTACTACCTAAACCAACCGAGAAAAAGACCTGTTACGGGTGGTCTGGGGTACCCTGTATAACGAAGTATAAAACAAATATTTATTGCAGGGGAAGGGTGGGGGGAGGAGAAAATATCGTTAATTACAGCCTACAGCATGAATATAAGGCCCTAGCGGTGAAACAACCTCTGCCTTGCCCGCGCGGGATGGAGCGCCGCCGATAAGCCGCCTGCGCGTAACCGATAACGCGCAGAAAAATCGCTATAACTCACGAACGAATCGTTTTCCCAAGATCAAACCAAGTGTGGTAGATGCAGAATTTCATGAAGAATCACCTCAACAGGTTTTCATTCACGTAGCAACGATTCCAAAGAGAGGAGAGACGAAAAACGAAAAAAAGTCGAACCTTCAAAATCGAAAAAATCTATTTACGACCGCGATAAATTACGCAACCTTGCAAACAGCATTAATATTCTTGTAGAGAATATTTTTTGACGTTTTTTAGCGCAAACCGCAACACTTACACTCAAACCGTTCGCGAGATATCGATTTTTAAAGTTTTAAAAAAATTGCAACTTTGCCCCCCTGCCCCCTCCCCCCTAATTATCCGAGGGGGCTGAAATTTTGCCCAAGCATCTGGGACACTTAGTACAACATCTGAGCAAAGTTTGGGCCAAGTCCAGGGGGGGGGGGGGGCAAAATCGGCGTTTTTGGAACAACCTCTTTCTCAGGGTTGTTTTATCAGATTTATCAGGATCGATTTTTCAGGATTAATTGTTCTTTGAAAATTCCGCACTAAAGTGACAGTATTATTTTCTTTAATCAAAGGAATGAATAAGTGACCTAAGAGAGTACGACTGTTTGAACAGGATTCAAGGAAACTCTTCAAATTATGCTCAGAAATCTAATTTTTTTGCAATTCCCCGTCAACTTAACAATTCGTGTAAACAACAAGCGCATTACTTGGAAAATTGTCAATGTCGCGATACAAATCAGTGATAGATCATCGGTAGGCAAGCTGGAATTAAGTTAGAAAGTGAGTGAAACAAGCAAAACACCCTCCGATACTGGCGCACGCGACGAATTTTATCATAACGCCTGAATGCAACTATTCGGGCTCCATGGATGTCCGTGTTGCCTATCCACGGAGTTGAAGGCGTTTTAAATTCCAGGCAGTCAGCGCTTCACCCGCGTTGCGGTGGCGCTGACGGCCAGTACTGCGGAGATCCAAGATGACACATCGTCTTGAATTCTTCGTTTATATTACGAAGACATATCTTAGGAACGAACAGTTTTCTAAACAAGTTTAGTTAGTTTTTAAAGCGAGTAATTGTTTTCTTAGGAACGAATCTTTGCTCTATAAATCATGCCCAGGACATCGCGATATCAAAACTGAAGCATGAAAGATCCCCACACTTTACGTCTGCATGCAACTGTCCGTACATTGCCCTGGATAGCGAAGAGAGCAGTAAGTGCAAAAATCAAGTTTCGAGAGAACGGACTCAGAAGCGTCTGACCGGAAAATGTTATCGGAGGAAGCCTCCCGTTCTTTGTCAAATCACCACTAATCATCCACAAGACTCGTGCTTATCATTTCGATGATTAAAAATCTTATTTCAATCATATAAAATCTTATTTCAATTACATCAAATCTTATTTTGATTACATAAAATCTTATTTCAATTACATACGAGTAAAATCTTATTCCAATTCATTTTATTTAAATTACAGGAAAATGGTATGATTCATTTTTATGTTAGGCTAATGTTATTTAAGACAGCCGTAAGTGCTATCTTCTGCATTCATTCGTGGTTGAATTCTGGACACACAACATTTTCCGGTCAGAAATTGACAGAAAAGGGCGGATATTTTCTTGAAAGCACTGTTTTCATTGGCTCTGTGGAGGAATAAAGTCACTTACGGCTGTTTTGCCTAAAACTCAAACTAAAACTACGTCATTTCTTGCGCACTCACGGCTTCCTCATATGTCTCGTTTTCATACAATTAAGATCAATTTTGCTGTTTTAACAATTTTAATGATTTCATCTTAAAGAGCTCAGACGAATTTTGAAGGAAACTCGATTTCGAAAATTTGACACTTTATTGTTATCTTCACTATCACGGCAGCACAGATGGCTTTGATAAATAAACGAATATTTGAAAGTACTCTGTTATTTTGGATCCTCGCAGTGCAGCCCGCCCGCGGGTAAAGCAGTGAGTTTCTGGAGTTCCAGAACGCCTTCAACTCCGTGCGTATGCAATACGGACATCCATGGAGCCCGAATAGTTGCATCCAGCTGTTACGTCGAAGATTCGCTTATAGTGTTCCTCACATACACCAGTAACTGTCGGCACTTTGCTTGTTTCTCTCACTTCTTACAACTTGATTCCAGGGTTGTCGATCGAGCCGATGTATTAAATTATTACTGATTTTTACCGCGACATCATAACCTTTCCTATATCATTTGAAAGTTCAGTTACACAAACCGAAAAATCATTCGATTTCTCAAACCGAATGCGGTAACTGGCGAAGAAGACCCAATTACGGTAATCGGACGGTTGGATTTTAGTAGCACACGATTAATTCAGTTTCTTCGACCAAACTTACATTGAATGTGACCCTGTTTTCGAATTTCGAATCAAACTGACGAATGATATCTCTTCATGCATAAGTTGAATGGTTAAAATGTGCGCAATATCACATGAGCTACTTGTTTCGTTAGATCAAATTCTTGGCTCTTCATTTGGTTAATGAATGTCAATTTAATATGCGATAAAAAAATGATTTCTATGTGTAAGACAGGTAGGCGAAAAAAAATGCAGCTTACATCAGTTTTATTGCAATTTTTACAATGAAAAGCTTCTTTTTGAATGGATAGGCAACACACATACACAACTTCCTGATGCAATAGCAATAATTTCACCTTGCAATTTTGCGATTGGACGTATTTTATCCAGTGGCGTGGCGTGAATGATCGATTATCGATATTTCTCCATTTGAAGCTATGGCAAAGAATCGATTATTAAGGTGTTCGCTGCGAACACCCTGTTTATCGATCCTTTACCACAGGTTTAAATGGCAGATTAATCGATATATCGCAAAGCACGCCACGCCACTGATTTCATCGTTTCCCGGACGAAGGAACGTAACCATTCCAAGGTTGCAAAATTGACTAAAACAATTCAGTGTTTCACACGAATGCACCTGTGCAATTTTCGTCTAAAATTTGTCTGATTTTTGCAAGAGATCGGAGGAAAAATCAGTGCAATATTTTTAGTTAAATATGCCCAAGATTCTCCAGTTTAAATTTCAATTTGCTAGGGAAAATTTTGCAACATTGAAATGAAGTTACGTTCTTTCGTAAGTGTACAGACGATTCATGCTAAAAAAAAAAAAACTATACTTACGTTGCACGCAGATTCTATCCTCCTAAGACCCGGAGATTTCAAATTTTTTATAGTGCGTCAGTCCTGAATTCATTTTAACTTTTCGCATTCTTAGTTGCACACCGTCAAAAATCGTGAAAAAATTAACCTCCCTATTGCAACATGGAATAGAACATTAGAGGCAATCAACACATATAAGTCTCTCAAGGGTGTCAGTGCATGCAGCAGCGCTCTGGCGCGGCGACTCAAATTAGAACTTGAAATGAAGAGTCGATTTGCCACCGGTTCTCTAGCACTACTAAAATAAATGGCGTCTTGCCTCGGGGACTTCGGAGGCTATGCAAATAGTTCATTCTAGCATACGCCCAATTTTTTGCAGCCTGTGGTACTGGGGCTGTACCGTGTACCCCCACAAACTTTTTCTCACGCTGAAAAAAAAGTTCGGTCGTAATAACGGAACGTTCGGTGTTCCATATCATCCCGACTATTCGGTTTGTCAAACTGAACTTGCGGTTCGTGTAACCGAACATTCGGTTCACGTGATCGAACTTTGTTTGTCAGTTCACTTTACCGTTGAAGTTCGGTTACACGAGCCGAATGTTCGGTTTGACGAACCGGAAATGTGGTTTGACAAACCAGAAATTTGGTTTGACGAATCGACAATTAGGTTTGACGAACCGGACATTCGGTTGGACGAACCGGACATTCGGTTGGACGAACCGGGCATTCGGTTGGACGAACCGAATTACCCAAGTAGCAGAGGTTGCAACAACTTGCAACAAAATCGTTTGATTCTTGCAACTAACAGATTGATGTGCAGATTGCCTACTCTCTCCCCCGAAGGAGCTATCATTGTTGGAACTAGTTGCAATTAAGTAGAAACATGTTCCAACTTCAAAGTATTGCTGGTTGCCTATCTTTAGATTTTAAACAACTTTGGTGCAGCAATTTTGCAATCTCAGCAGGTTGCAACTTTGTCTTCCGATCAGATCGCCGAAAATCGGCACTTATCGACTGAAAGTTGACCGAAAGTTGCAACTTTGTTGCAACTAATACCAACATTGTATCAACATTCCGCAACTTTTACATTGAAAAATGCTACTTGGGTAGTTGGGATGCTATGGAAAATCGAACTTTGGTTCCAACGGCCGAACTTCGGTTCATACGACAGAGCTCTTTTTTCAGTGACTACGCATAAGTTAACTCTTCCCTTGTCCTCGCAGTGCGAAGCCTCGCTCGTGAAAGCGGGTTCCCAGGAAGCTCACTTCTCCTGCCATAAAGCCTGTAAGGCCATCGCGGACCGAGCCGACATCATCCGGCTCCATTACTCGGAGCAAAGCGCTTTGGCTAGACGCACCGTCGATCAGTGCTCCGGCTTCACAGATGGCCGGTGTTTCAACGTCACAAACTGGAGGAGGATGAGCCTCACCGCCTGTTGGTGCAGAAAGGGGAAGGAATGGCGCCCTGCCCTCGCCTGTCGCACGGGCATGAACTTCGGGCGAAACCTCGAAAACGCCAAGATTATGGCCGGCAATGTCTGGGACGTCAACATCAAGCCGGCTCTGCCACCGCTCCCCAAGCGGTTACTACGGGCGTGGTCCAGCCAGAACCAGAGGCTTCAGCCGAGGGAGTGAAGAAGAATGGCACTGCTGGGAATTTACTGCCGTGCTATAAGAAGACATAGAGTACATAGAGTCGTGATGTAAATGGGAGAGCTGGCGCCATGTTCTGCTCGACGAAGTCCGAGCCCGGTGTGCGCCGAGTTCGGGTCGCTTTTTCGATACATTTTCGATCCAAAATGGCGGTGTGGAATACGCGGTAATTCCTATCTCCTTTGTTGTTGTTGTTGTCGTCATCGGAAGGCCGGGTACCCGTGTATCGCAAAAAACCGATTATGTATCGAAAAAGTGACCCGGTGTCACACAGGAGTCTCGGAATTCGGGACATGGAAAATGCTTAAAAGTGGCGCCAGCTCTCCCACTTACATTACGACTCTAGGTACTCTATGTAAGAAGAACGCACTGTATGCCCCTGGTGAAAATTGACGATAGTAGCTGCGTTTCAAAATGCCCTAAAAGTTCTTATAGCCGATCGACTGAAGAAGGCGATAGAAAATCATATAACTGGCTGTAGAAAGTGGAAAAAATCATACGACCGGGCTACACGAAGCGATAAAAAATTATACAGCCGGGCTATAGCTCCTATTGCCGGGCTTTACACTTTATCGCCTGTCTGTCGCTTTTTCGTCATCGGCCATAAAAGGCTATATATAAGAAATTGTGTAGAAATTCGTGTACATTGTAAATCCTTAAGTTTGTACGGAATCACCTTAATATATTTACAAAACGCACATTATATTTTCCTTTACCACATATTTTTCACACATTCCACACATTCCTTTACCACATATTTTTTTCATCAATTAAAATGAGAATGAACCATACAGAGTGTGCAAACATTTCAAAGTCATGAGTTGAAAACGCTGAATCCACGAGATTAAATATTAGAGCCTAACACAAAGCGGAGCGGCGGCCCACCGGCGCCTACAAACCTAACAGGGATACTTCGCGCATTGCGCAGTGCGTGAAGTATCCCTGTTAGGTTTGTAGGCGCCAATGCGCGTTCGCGCTGGCTGCCCGCCCGCCGCGCCGCAGCGTACCACGGCGCTTGAAGCAACTATTTCACACCAGAGGTATTGCACAGTATCATACGAAATTGAAGGCGCTCCAACATTTTAGGAATGGCAGGCATCCTTCAAAAGTACGGAGCTTTCCTCGCAAAATAAATCAAGATACTGCGTCCCAAAAAGAGAGCGGTAGTCCAAAAACTCACTAAGTCCTAGCATCCGTAATTAGTAACGTTTAGCATACACTTTATCGCCATTGGCTATAAGAGGCTATATAAGAAATTGTGTTGCCGGCTATAGAAGCTATTAAAAATCTTACAGCCGGCTGTAGGTCTATGGTATTTTGGAACACAGATTCTACTGCGAATTTTTACCAGGGTGAACCCTAAGACGTTGCCGTATTTTTTTAATAATAAAAAACTATTTTTGGGACTGTTTAATCTAATTTTAATTTTTTAATCTTCCGCATTTTAATCTAATTTTAATTTTTTAATCTTCCGCATTTTAATCTAATTTTAATTTTTTAACCTTCCGCATTTTAATCTAATTTTCATTTTTTAATCTTCCGCATTTTAATCTAATTTTCATTTTTTAATCTTCCGCATTTTAATCTAATTTTCATTTTTTAATCTTCCGCATTTTAATCTAAAATATCTGCCAATGGGTCAGTTCCGCTAGTCACAGAATCGTGTTTTGACGCTTGATTCTTGTAAATCAGCTAAAATTAATAAGATCTGGCCCCAAAAGCAAATCTCTACGTCCAATATTGACCGAGATATCGCTCTTCGAAAAGTCGGGTTTTTGACGTCATCCATCGCGATAGTGACACCCTTGGTTTCTTCCACTTTTATTTCATCCGAGTTTCACGTTGAGTTACCAGTGAAAATGTGCGTCACATTGACGGATGAAAGCAATGTAAAGGAAACCAATAAGGGTGTCACCACCGCGGTGGATGACAACAAAAACCTTTCAAAGAGCGATTCTTATCTCGGTCAATAGTGAACGTGGAAAGTTGCTGTTCGGACGGTTCTTCTTATCATTAGCTAATCTACAAGAATCCAGCATCAAAACATGATTCTGTAATTAGCGCAACTGACCCATTTTTAAAGGAACTTATCGTGACTTTCCTCGAAAAGTAATTATAATTGGAGGACATTTGACAACTATCGAATATGTTCTTACGACGTTCTTCCTTAGCACGGCAGTTTAGGATTAAGATGAATAAAAAGTAAGCATTGTTGGTTGGTTCGTAAATACCTAAACTTAATTGAAGGTGCCTTAACAAAACGAGGTCATTAGCACATTAAAAAAGAGAAATCTATACTGAGATCGACGATAATATTAGGTAAATAAAAAGGAGGGGGTGTGAAAGACAAAGAACTATGGTTAGGGAGAGAATTTTGCAAAAATATGTATAAAACAAAGAAAGAATCTATCAAGTTTGGAGCTCAGTTTGCACAAGAAAGGGAGAAATTTGGTAGAAATATTTTCATCCTATGGTATCGAAATTAGAAAGAAGTGGGAAAATGTTGGATGTAAGTTTTGGTAATTTGGACAGGGTGTTAGAACATGGCGGACTGATAGGGGGATACTAAGGCAAGTTAGTGAAGGGGGGGGGGCGCTGGGGGCTTCTTAATTAAATATTGATGAGTAAAGTGTGACCTAAACACAGTCAGGTCAATTTGACTTGGTCAGCAAATGATACGAGGGGTATTCGTAAAGTAAGTTAATATTTGTCATATCTTATCTTCTAAACTAATAAAGATAATTTAAATCTGTAAAGAGTTTGTGAATTGTCATACTCTCAGCTTTCTAAAAAGCTTCAGTTTTTTTAAATTTGGTTCTTTGAGTGCCGAGTGACATCAGTTTTCCCACACCCGTCTCTCACCACCGCGTGTCCAAAATTGACGCGCGTCTTTAGGGGTGCTCGATGAGTGTTACTCATTTATTTCTTAGAAAGAAGCACAAATATTGATGCAAACAGAAACTGTGATGTCATTAAAGGCTAAAATCAGCATTCAAAAGAAAATGCCTTGGCCTTTTGTCTCGTCAAGTGATGCTGCTTCATGACAATGCTAGGCCCCATACAGCTCATGTGGCCAATCAGCTGTTGACGTCCTTAAAATGAGACCTTTCCCACGTCCTCTTTATTCTCAAGATCTCACTCCACGTGATTTATCACGTATTACCTGAACTAGAGAAGAGTTTTGGCGAAAAAAGTTCCGTGGACGATGATGAGGTGACAGAAGCTGTACAAAAGTGGTTGCAATAACGGAATCGCCAGTTTTACGTTGACGGAATAAAAAAGCTCTTGTCATGGTATGTAAAATGTGTCCAACGAGATGGGGATTACGTGGAAAAGTAAAGCCAGATCTTCACAAACATAGAAATTTTAAATTTTAAACAAAAAATTCCATTTTGACAATTTCCAGGATGCAGCCGCATGCTGCCGACCTGTGACTTCCCCAGCGCGCGTCAATTTTGGACACGCGGTGGTGAGAAGCGGGTGTGGGAAAACTGATGTCACTCGGCACTCAAAGGACCAAATTTAAAAAACTGAAGTTTTTTAAAAAGCTGAAAGTATGACAATTCACAAACTCTTTACAAATTTAAATTATCTTCATTAGTTTAGAAGATATGACAAATATTAACTTACTTTACGAATACCCCTCGTAGATGAGTTGATCGGGGAAAGATTTCCACCGATTGCACACACTGGAAAAATAAGTACCTATCTTGGATCTAGAGTCCAGAATCTTAAAAATGTTGACAAGAAAAAATACTCTTGATTCAATCGGATTTTTGGGTGAATCGAGAGCCATGCCTCTTAATTTAAGCGGATTTCCTTGTGATTCAAGCAAAAATCCTATTGACTTTAGAGTATTATTTCTTTTCAAATGTTTTAAAAGCCTGGACTCTGGAATCTGGATCCAAGAGCCTATTTTGCCAAGTGCACGTATAGAAAAAACAACTTCGGTTACAGGGACTAGAGTTCAGTTCATATGGTACACTCAAGTTTTTGGTTGCACAGAGCGAACTTTGTGAAGTATGAAGGACCACTAGACAAGGCACGAATTAAAGGGTTCTGATACATGTTTCTTAACCAAAATTTTACACAGAACACGATTCGTGCAACGAAAATGTCTGAAACCAACTCCTAACGAAGACATTAATGTTTTTATTTCATATTGGTTACAAGGAATTTGAACTGCCCGCTCACCCGCCCGCCGGGAGAGCCGCGGCCAGCGCGAAACGCGCACTGACGCCTACAAACCGAAAGGGCTACTTCACGCATTGCGCAATGCTTGAAGTATCCCCTCAGGTTTGTAGGCGTCAGTGCGCGTTTCGAGCTGGCAGCTCGCCGCCGCGCCGCGCCGCAGCGTGCCATAAACTTGCCCACAATGTATAGGTCAGGGTGTTGAAATGTAGGCAATGGACCACTAGAAAAGGTACGAATTTCAGCATTCTGATGCATGTTTCTTCACCAAAATTTCACGTAAAACACGATACGCACAACGAAAATTACCGAAATCAACTCTTACCGAAGATATTCAATAATTCTTGGTGCGTGAATAGAAAACATCCGCTCATGAAAATTCAATGCTCTTCGTGATTCACATCGTGCGTTAAACGTTATCATTAACGTCTCAGCGATAGAAAAATCTGGCAACCTCAATCTTGACGCTTTGGCTCAGCTATAGCAAATTACTTATAGTTTGAACAACACATGGTGGGAAACTATCCCCAACTTACAGATACTTGTTCTGTAACTAGAACACCGTGCGTCTAACTTCTCACTAATTGTGCCGTGACATTTAGGCAAAAAGTCAATTTGGCCCCCAAAAATAAATCTTCAATGGCCCCCAAAAATCGAGCTTGATGCGCCACATGGCTCTGAAACTCAAAGGTGAGTTTCAAACACTGCATGGAATCCTCATAGTTTTTGTCTGTGAAAGCAGAGTGTTGGAGGACCTACGACTGAAATTTGGATGGACTTTAGGAAACATTATTTGCACAGTCCCTTAAAAATTGCAACTCTTTCTTTTCACAGGGGCCACAAGGCTCCTAAATCAGTCTGTTTTTGCTTCTTGGGACCAAAATGAGGGTATCTGGGACCCTTTGTTTTATCGGAAACGTAATCCGCCTTTAATTTACAAAATATGCAACCCGTGATGTTCGGGCCCTTTATCCGAGAGTATCACGAACCCCTGAGTGTTAATCTACCGCGCTAAGCAAGAACGCCGTAAATCCATCAAGATTTTCCCTCGTTTTTTGGATACTTAGCACTTTATAAAATATCAACCGTTTTACCCATGCACCTCAAATTTTCAGGTTAAGTTTTTGATAGTATTAGCGAAAGAATTCTGTCAAAATATTGTCTCAAGGCACACAAGTTTTTCTGCTATGATAGGTACGTTGTTTCCAAAAAATGTAAAATGGCGTTTACTGCGTTTTCGCGTCGCGCGGCAGTAATCCGGCCCTGCGCACACTGCGCTGTCTTGCCTGACATAAAATAAGTGAGGTCCCGCGTTCCCAGGAATCGAAAATGAAATTCGTCGAATTTTAATCACGAGAGCAATTTCTATGACTGAGACAATTTTACGAAGAACGGGAAACTCGCTCGATGAAAGTTTTCGCTCATAGACCTACCGAGTCCATTTCCTCAAAACTACTTTTTCGCAGGTAATCGTGTCACAATGGCCGAGTATTGTTGGGCCTGCGCTGTTTTGCGGGAAACTCAAGGTCGAAAAATCTTAAAATAGCACATGAGTAAAAAATGAGCTCTGGTAAGTTTCTGTTCGCAACTATAGAGGGAGGGGGGGATTTTTAGCGCAGTGATGCTCGCTCATAGGTCTCTTTAGTGGGCCAGCTTTCGCTGTGGTACACTCCCCTCCAGGCTTGCGCTGTAACTTATCGCGGAGTTCCTTTTTTAACTCTCATTTTAATTTTTGGGATGCTTTGGCCTTGAGTTTTCCACGGACTAGTATACCGGGTGTCCATAAAGTAACTGAAAAGTGGGTATAATTTTTGAACAAAAAAAGATAGAAGGTCGCGGTTTGTGGCATTCTTCATCATTCAAAAGGGGAAATTTTTCGATGGGGGGCTTTTCCCGGTGGACCCCCCTGGGGGGCCCCAGGGGGGCAACTTCAAAAATTCAAATGGCAACCCCCATTTTTTTAGACATGGTTAAAAAGAACTTAAAAGGACAAGAAAAATGGCGCAAATAAAATTAAAATCGGTTATTTCGTTCAAAAGTTACAGCCGGTCAAAGTTTTAAATTGACCACTTTTCAAAAAATCGCCGATGAGCTCCAAATTATCGGAAAAACAAAAACAAACCAGGAATGAAAAGTTTGAAAAGTGCTTTTTAGGAAGAGAAAAAACAACTGACGTTGTCACAAGTCTGGATGGCACTGTTTCAAAATAAAATTTCGGAAAATTCAACATGGCGGCAAATTTGAGGAAACGCAAAAAATGAAAATTCCAGAAACTGTTATCTTTCAAATACCCTCTAGTTTAAGGAAGGAGGATATCTGCTACGCTTCCAATTTCGAAGACGCCGTTCTACTCTTGATTATTATCTGAATTGAGATTATCTTATTGACAATCTCAACCTTAAGATTTGAGACACCAATCTTTTCGGTAACATCTGATGCACTATCTGATCGGTGACAAGGTGAAGCGTAGCAGTTATCCTCCTTGCCAAATTGGAGTGCCAGGAGTTAGAGAATTAAAATTATTCTTGGATTTTTAATTTTCAGAGAGAGAAATGTCAAAAATGTCCACCGCCCCTACCCCACCAGGATAGATCATGTTTTTTTGGCTCGCCAAGTTTGTGGGTAAAAATTGCTAAATTTTACTTTTCTTCTTTTTTCTCGTTAAATTTGAGGAGGAGGACCTTAAAAATTTCTAAAGCATCCCAAAGGAGGAGCGCATTTTCACATCGGCTTCATTTTTCGACAGCACACTTAATCCTGTGATGTCGCATACTCCAACGATTGAAGGCGCCCTGCTTGACATCTTTTAAGTCAGCAAATTATTGCTCTTACTTGGCCAAATAAAGGGATAAAAGTTGATACCTTTGATTTCCTTAAACTAGAGGGTATTTGAAAGATAACAGTTTCTGGAATTTTCATTTTTTGCGTTTCCTCAAATTTGCCGCCATGTTGAATTTTCCGAAATTTTATTTTGAAACAGTGCCATCCAGACTTGTGACAACGTCAGTTGTTTTTTCTCTTCCTAAAAAGCACTTTTCAAACTTTTCATTCCTGGTTTGTTTTTGTTTTTCCGATAATTTGGAGCTCATCGGCGATTTTTTGAAAAGTGGTCAATTTAAAACTTTGACCGGCTGTAACTTTTGAACGAAATAACCGATTTTAATTTTATTTGCGCCATTTTTCTTGTCCTTTTAAGTTCTTTTTAACCATGTCTAAAAAAATGGGGGTTGCCATTTGAATTTTTGAAGTTGCCCCCCCTGGGGCCCCCCAGGGGGGTCCACCGGGAAAAGCCCCCCATCGAAAAATTTCCCCTTTTGAATGATGAAGAATGCCACAAACCGCGACCTTCTATCTTTTTTTGTTCAAAAATTATACCCACTTTTCAGTTACTTTATGGACACCCGGTATGAACCCAGCACTACTCCACCATTCTGTTACTCGTAGGGTTCAGGCCCCATTTGAGTCAGTGAGTTCGAAAACACACCAACTCGGGGTTTTTTTCGATTTTCACTTTTTTACGGTTTAGTAACACTTATGGATAGAAGCATATGCACGCACAAGGAAATTTCGAAATTGCAATCGGAAGTGCTCGAAACAGCGACGGGAAAAGGGAAAAATCGTAGTATTTCATTGGAAATACCAATTTTTGGCCATTTCAAGGGAAACGGGTGACCATCCGATTTTGCGGTTTTCTTTTTTCGGTTCAGTATACCTTGTACCAACAAAGTTATATAAATATTCAATCGTTATTCAGGTCGAAAAATATACATTTTTCAGGGCAGACTATGAAAAATCAGTATCTGAAAGTCGGTGAGAACGAAAACACACCAACTCGGAAATTGTTAAACGCTTTATTCTCTGTCATCAAACATGGTGTATCGATTTCAACTCGGTGCTTTACAAAGTCTTTATAAGTACTTAGTCCTTTGGCACCAAAAAGGTTTTTCATAAACTAACTTCTTCGCCCGCTGCGCAGTTTTTGGTGTTTCCTGAACAATTTTTTTTTTCCAAGTTGGTGTGTTTTCGAACTCACTGATTCATTTTTAATATTTATCAGTCGTATCTCCAGTGCGCAACCGATCCATTAAAAAATTCAATCATGAGATGAAAGAATCGCTGACGAAGTGATTTCATACATTTTGATCGAAGGCAACGCTCTTCGCGCGCAAATACATTTTTTCGCCTCTCATTTCGTGTCTCGATTGTAATTGAAATTCATCAAGCGTGTGAGGAAAAACTGAATTTTTCGGTTACTTTTTTGAGAAATTTCCTCCGTTTTTCATCGATAGATTTTGTGAGAATTCGTAGAAACAGCTCTTATACGTAAATTTAAGCACTGAACGTCAAACGCGTCTAAAACCTGCTTAAACTGAAAACGTTTTTTTCCCACGTATAGTAGTTCCCAGTATTCCCCACGTCGCAAAAGTGTCATTACAGTTTTTTCCCTCCTGAATATCGACTTTTTGCGTCCGTAAAAGTAGTTTCACGTATTTTTGCAATTTGGGTTTTTTAAGGTCATAGCTAATGGGATGATATTTTACTGGGGTGGTGATGGCCTCATTTCCAGAGAAAGTTAAAATTGCACAGAGTAACGACGTTGTAGGAAGCTTGTGTCGACATTACCAACGCGCGAAACACTATACTTAACAGTGCTGCCATTTAATCTTATCAAAAGATTCCGAAATAATTCCGATATCCGGAAGCATATTCCGATTTGCCGAAGTTCTGAGAAAAATTCCGAAATACACCCGGATTCAGTTCCGAAGACCGTCAAATTTGATCAAAAAGTCCCTTAATTTGATCAAATAAATGGTCAAACTGGCGAAAAACCGCTAATTTCGAGGTATTTCCTAAATTAGCTGAACATTCCGGGGATTTAGAAGATTCCGGGAAAAGTTTCGATCGTTCGAAAAGTTCCGAATTTCGGAATTAATTTCGGGAAATGGCAGCACTGCTGTATTAATACATATTGCAGTGACGTTATAAAAAGCCACAGTCTCTGACGCGCAGTTAAAATCTTCCTAACCGAGGTTTTTATGGCGGGAAAAGCGAAGGAGACGTTTTTTTGCAAAAGTTGCACACGCAGCTCACCACTATCCGCGCAGTTGAAAAATCCATCTCATTGTGAGTTCGAGCTTTTTGCGCCCGTACCCACGATAGCAAGTCCTATAAATCTCGGAGTCTCTTGATTCGTTTGGGTGAGTTCTAACGCGATGGTCGCTCAAACCGAACTTCTAGTGCTATGTCTATCCGTTTTTATCTACCGCAGTTAAAATCTGTTAAAATCTTCCTAACCAAGGTTTTTTATGGCGGGAAAAGTGAAGGAGACGTTTTTTGCAACAGTTGCACACGCAGCTCACCACTATCCGCGCTGTTGAAAAATCCATCTCATTGTGAGTTCGAGCTTTTTGCGCCCGTACCCACGATAGCAAGTCCTATAAATCTCGGAGTCTCTTGATTCGTTTGGGTGAGTTCTAACGCGATGGTCGCTCAAACCGAACTTCTAGTGCTATGTCTATCCGTTTTTATCTACCGCAGTTAAAATCTGTTAAAATCTTCCTAACCAAGGTTTTTATGGCGGGAAAAGTGAAGAAGACGTTTTTTGCAAAAGTTGCACACGCAGCTCACCACTATCCGCGTAGTTGAAAAATCCATCTCATTGTGAGTTCGAGCTTTTTGCGCCCGTACCCACGATAGCAAGTCCTATAAATCTCGGAGTCTCTTGATTCGTTTGGGTCAGTTCTAACGCGATGGTCGCTCAAACCGAACTTCTAGTGCTATGTCTTCTATCCGTTTTCATCTACCGTGTGACATGTCCCGTGACGCCTCCCAACTCGGCGCCCCATTCGCCTACCAAGGGGGCTGCCGGGTCGCCCACCAGGTCATCTTCCGGGTCGGGGTCGCCCAACAGGTCGCTCAAAAGGCCGCCTTCCAAGACACTCTCCAGGACCTCCTCGCGGGATAGTTACACGAGTTGGATCTATCCGTCTAGAATGTTTGTAAACCCCCAGATTTGGAAGTCACCACCTTATCCAGACACAAAGGGAGATCCTCTCGTAAGTATTCGAAATGAATCTTTTGAACGGTGTTTTTCCAGATCTCGTTTTGTAAGAGGTTTTGCAGGTGATTATTTGCTTTTTCTTTTTCTCCGGGTGAATACGGATACATAGATGGAGTTCTTTCTGAATCGAATAAGATTTTTGAAATTATTTGGCCTCGATTTCCCCGCAGAATCTTATGATGCACCTTGGTACCTTGGTGCATGGATTTTTCCGGGGGGGGGGGTGGATTGTGAGTTTGACTTAGAACTACCTGAATCCTAATGATAATGTACAGTGTAGATTTCTGCCCCCAAACATAGTGATCAATTCATGCAACAAGGCAACTAGACCCTAAAATCACATTGAATAATACTCCCATTTGTTAGAAAGAACGGCTGGAAAACCGAGATACGTGTTTTCGGAACTAAGGGCCAACACCAAATCCTGAGATACGTGGTGTGAGAATTACCGTTTGAATTGTGCTTTCCGCGGATTTGATCAAATTAAGGCTCAAAATAGGGTTAACAGAACCGTACACTATAATTTGCTCCTTAAACGGTTTAGTCGCGGTTTCATAGCCGAATCGGATATCGTCTGTTGCGAATAACATTAAGTGGCTAAATGCCGTAACTGGCTGACAGTCCACGATTCCATTGGCACAGTATTAAATGGATGGAGAAAAAAAAGTAAAAATCAGCACCTTCAGTAGGTATCGCATATTATTGCCAACAAAATTTCCCTCTAAGAGCAGGTTCCCGTTGATCCGGTGCCTTCAACTACGCGAGTATGCAACTTTGATAGCAAATAATTACCCCTCTCTTATAATTGTCTCAGTCAAGAATGCGGTTTCCAGTGCACTTCCTTGAGGTCTCGATAATCGATACACGATCAAATTCCCGAACCAATTACCATCAAAGTGTCGGGAGTCATCGGTCTTAAAATCATTTAATTTTAAAATGAAAACTTGGCAGAAATGTTTCCTGCGGCAGGGAATGATGAATGGTGGCACTCCATTCTGATCAAACTTTGACGGCCCGTCCAATTTATTTTGATCATGCAAAGAGGACTGTTGCATGGTGACCATCAGTCATCAAGTAGTGGTCTACTCTGCCGAGTTAGTGAAGAGAGCCGTAAGTGCAAAAATTAAGTTTTGAGAAAACGGGCTCAGAAGCTTCTGACAAGAACATTTTATTGAAAGAAGCCTCCGTTCTTTGTCAAATTGCCACTAATCGTCCGGAGGACTCCTAGAAATCGTATGGATGATTAAAAATCGACTGATTTTATTTCCATTACATAAAAAGGGTATTTTTCATTTTCATGCTAGGTTACTGTCAGGCAAGACAGCCGTAAGTGCTATCTTCTGCATGCTTTCGTGGTTGCGTTTTGGACGCACAACAAACACATTTTCAGGTTAGAAATTGGCAGAAGAGGGCGGCACTTTACTGAAAAGCACTGTTCTTATTGGCTCTCATGCATCTACGGCTGTCTGGAAAAAAAACTGTGTCATTTTTTGTGCACTTACGGCTTTTACATACGTCTCGTTTTCATTAAATTAGGATGAATTTTGCTGTTTTAGCTGTCTCAGTAATTTCATCTAAAAGAGTTTAGACGAAATTTTGAAGAAAACTCGATTTCGAAAATGTTGCACTTACGGCTCTCTTCGCTATCACGGCAGTACTTTAATCAGAATTGGTTCGGAATTTGATCGTGTATCCAGCTCTTTGAAGCAGGCTTGGTTGTCTGAGTTTTGACAATCGATTTAAGCATTAGATCACCTTAAATTTAGCCTCAAGTTGTTAAAATCTCAGATTGTTAGGGAATGTATCGACGGTGAAACCACCAGACCACGTATCGCGGTTTGTGACGTTGCAGACTTCCTGTCATACTTTATTTTTTAAATCGAAAACTACTCAAACGTCAGTTCTTGAAAATTTTCTTCAGTGCGCGAAGAAAACTCCGTGAAAATTTCAATCAAAGATGATGATTTGATCTTCTTCAAAGAACATACAAAGGCAGCGGAGATTCTTAAACACCGCAAACGAGATACGTGGTCTGGTAGTTTCACCGTCGGTATGTTTTTGTACGTCAAAAATGTAGTCTGCCATTTTGAGTAATTCGTACACGCTATGCGTATGAAATGACGAACCTAGTATGGTTTACCTATCAGTTTTTGGGCCAAATGGACCACTAGACTTGGTAAAAATTCCAGCATTCTGATACATGGCCAGCGCGAAACGCGCACTGACGCCTACAATAACCTAAAGGGCTACTTCACGCATTGCGCAATGCTTAAAGTATCCCCTTAGGTTTGTAGGCGTCAGTGCGCGTTTCGAGCTGGCATGGCAGCTCGCCGCCGCGCCGCAGTGTGCCATAAACTTGCCCACAATTTATAGGTCAGGGTGTTAAAATGTAGACAATGGACCACTAGACAAGGTACGAATTTCAGCATTCTGAAACATGTTTCTTCACCAAAATTTCTGGTAAAACACGACGCGCACAACGAAAATTACCGAAATCAACTCTTTCCGAAGATATTCAATAATTCTTGATGTGTGAATTGAAAACACCCGCTCATGAAAACTCAATGCTGTACGTGATTCACATCGTGCGCTGAACGTTATCATTAACGTCTCTGCGATGAAAAAAAAATCTGGCAACCTCAATATTGACGCTTTGGCTCAGCTATAGCAAATTACTTATAGTTTGAAAAACACATGGTGTGAAATGAACATTGCTCGATTGAGAAGCTCGCTGAAACCGTTGTAGTGCGCGATTTGACTAACGTAGATGCTTTGAGTTTCTTGTGAGCGGGCAGTTCAAATTCCTTGTAACCAATGTGAAATATAAAAATGTTAATATCTCCGTTAGGAGTTGGTTTCAGCTATTCTCGTTGTGCGAATCATGTTCTACGTAAAATTCTGGTTAAGAAACATGTATCATGCTTAAATTCGTACCTTGTCGAGTGGTCCCTTGTGCGTTTTCTGAGTGTCACGCGATGGCACAATACGCGTTTTTTTTTTTAAAATGTAGGTACTACAACGGTTATCATAAAAACATGTGCCGTTCAAGGATAAACTTGCCTTATTAAAAAAAAAAAAAAAAAAAAAAAAAAAAAAAAAAAAAAAAAATTGATCTATTTATACCGCAGCACATATTCCTGTCGCAGGAACATTTAGGGTAAAAAATCCCCGAAAAATAATATTACCTTTCCAAGCGTCAAGGAATAGTCACGACGTTTACCTAGATTAGATTACAATCCATAAATACACAGTGTCGAGAAAAAGCTTTTGAATATTCTAGTTCGTACGTCACAAAATTGTCAGATTGTAAACCTTAGACCTTCTGTTGACACAAAAATGGAATAAAACGCTCTTAACTTTTACTTTAGAAAGTTATCCGTCGGGATTAGAAAATCCGATCTTCTGACCCAACTCGACCAAAATCGCTCCTCTGTAAATATACGTCTGTGGAATATCGTCCCCTTTTCTGTGGATCGTAAATTATTAAGATCTAATCTAAGTCAAGCACCTTATGTCTAATGTTAACGATACCATTTGGATTACATTTGACAACATATATGCCATTGATTTCCCTATGCAGATACGTGGTTTTATAGAGATAGTGGTTCCTCATTGCAAAATGTAATCCATTTGTACCTCCTACGTACGTATGATGCAGAAAAAGATATAAAATGTTTCAATACATAGAAAAGGGCCCAAAAAAAAAAAAAAAAGTGAAAATTAAAATGAAAATGAAAATGAAAATTTTCCTACACACTGATTCATTTAGATTCTCCGAGCTTTGGCGAGCTTGATGATCTGATGTAAATTTGGCGTGCGTGATTATAAAAAAACCGTAACCTTCAAAAATGCCACAAAAAATAGCTCGCTAGTGCAGTGACTGTGCAGAGCGTCTGAAAACAACAGACAACCGATCGAGAAAAGTGTACTGTACTCTTTCCAGCCATAACCTGAACCGCTACGGGGAAATGGCCAGTGCCGTCATTTCACCAGAACATGGGGGAGGGGGGCTGTTTTCGTCAAAATAACCTCTGCTAATGCCCCGAAAAATTCCCACTTGCGCGGAAATGGAGCTCGGCTTTTTTTGCGCTGCGATTCATAACATGTGTACCTATGTATCTAGTTTTCGGCGGGTTTTTCCATCTATTTTTCTTCCTTTAATCCACGTCCTCTGAAACGCAAGAGAAGGAGGGGGGAGGGGGCTTTTTGCGTCAAAATAACATAAATTATTTAAGGTGATTTGATGGACACCATATTTTGTGTCAGAACGGCATGCGATATATCGCATCAATTGGTTCCATTTTTTCAGCTACTCGTCATTTTTCTCCAATTTTGAAATTGCAATTCTGTTGTCAGAAGGCTAAATCACTCACTTACCAATGTTAACAAAGAAATTCAACATAATAAAGGCGTGGTTTTTTTAGAGAGGAAACATCGCATTCGATACTGATATCGAAACTACACTCGAATGCGATATTTTCTCTCTGAAAAAAACACGCCTTCATTACGTTGAATTTCTTTGTTAAAATTGGTAAGTGAGTGCTTTAGTCTCCTGACAACATAATTGCGATCTCAAAATTGGAGAAAAATGACGAGTAGCTGAAAAAATGGAACCAATTGATGCGATATATCGCACGCCGTTCTAACACAAAATATGGCGTTCATCGAATCACCTTAACCTCTGCTGATGCCCAGAAAAATTCCCGCTTGCACGGCAATGGAGACTTTTTTCGCGCTCGATTCATAATCTGTGCAGGTACCTATTCAAATTTGTAAAAAAAACTCAAGCTTTCGGCATGTTTTTCCATCCATTTTTCCTGGTTTTTATCTACGCCTTCCGGAACGCAAGGGGAGGGTAGAGTACCTGTATAGGGAGAGTAGCGACAGATCTGAAACTCCGAAAGTCCATCAGGCCTTCACCGATGCCTCCGCGAATAAAGTTAGGGCCCAAAAGGGCAGCCAACCTATGAATTTCGAATGTCCAGAGCGATTTACAAATACAATTGTTGATGTATCTGTATAACTTGATGCATATGTATCCGGGCGGCGCTCAAGCCAGAACTCAAGCATAGGAGCGACCCATAACCAACTCCATATAGAATGCCTAGAATGCCTCGTGTTTCATGTAGCAGAACCGTGAAAGCCTCTTTATTGTATTTTCAATAAAACCCCAGTCTGTCATCTCAACAATATCATTGTGCTTATTCTCCCGTTTTCCCCCCGAAACTATACACAAATCAATTGTTACGAACCGTCGTTTAGAAAGCATGTATTTGGTTTACTTTTTGCATAAATTTACTTATTTTTGCGAAAGAACGCTCATTTGTACATTCTTAGCCATCTTGGTTAGAATTGAAATCTGTAGGCTGGCAGTGAAATTTTGTGTGTTAGAAGTTGCTCAGAAGGGTCGCTGCACTTTTGGGCCCTAAGCCCTCCATGAACCGATCTGTCGCTACTCTCCCTATACAGGTACTCTAGGGGAGGGAGGATTATTCCCCTTTTTTCAAAAAATTCTCCTAACTCGTTATTAAATTTTGGCCGTATGTAATACAAAATGTTAATGTGACATCAGTGAGAAAAGGGAGCATACCTCACGAAGATAAAATGGGCTTCATTTCGCTATGAGAAGAACTCACTGAAAAAAGTTACGGGCTATATAGACGTACCGTCCGTTTCGGGCGCAAAGGCCGAAAGTTACGGGTGCTGGAGCGGTAGCTTCGATCTCTCCGGGTGACACGCCCGCAACTGCCGGCCTCTGAGCCTGGAACGGGGACGGGATGTCAATAAAGCCGGCAAGTACAGCTTCCAGGGCCAGAATTTTTTCCCCAGTGTACATGATTTCAGATTCATTCACAAAAGGCTGACGTGAACAGATTACGTTAACAGTTATGACGTTAAGTCATAGTGATTTGTTTCATAAAGCAATCGGTCTCATCAGTTTGACCCAGCTTGACTCAACTGAAGTCAGTCTTTTGCGAGTCAGGCTGACTCAGCTTTCAACGGTTCATTTTTTTTTATCTATTAAGGTGGTATAATAGTGCAGGGTCCACACTATTTTGCGGGGTGAACAAGACCAAAAAGTTTAAAAATATCAATTAGAGTCAAACATTTTGAGCTCTAATGAGTACCGGTACAAATCTGAGGGGAAGAAGCGTTGACTTTTTGAGATCAGACAGATGCATTGGAATATTATGCTGATATCACGCAGAGAGATTTATAATATTTTGCGTCTTTTTAGACCTCATCAATAGATCACACTCGTCTAAGTGTAGGAACTCAGCTTAGAATCCATCTAAATCAAGGATGGTATCGAAATAACTTTAAAAGATGCGTGATTTAGGTACCTGCATTTGCCCTCTCTTGAGAGTATTCACTGGAAAAAAAAAGTCGCTTGGACCTAGAGTCCAGAAAACATTGACAAGATAGAATACTCTTGATTCAATCGGACTTTTTGCTGGAATCAAAAGGAAATCCGCCTAAATGAAGAGGTTCGGCCCTTCGATTCAAGGAAAAATCAGATTGAATCAAGAGTACTTTTTGTTGTCAATGTTACTAGGAGTCTGGACTCTGGATCCAAGCTACTTTTTTTTCCAGTGCTTTTTTAAAAAAACTGACTATTTTTGGAAATAAATGCCATCCCTACACTGCATGAAAGTAACGCGAGGCATGACACAAAAGAGCGATCCTCGTGCCATGTACCGTCGCGTCGCTGCTGAACAACTCCCAGCAGGGCCGGATTTAAGGGATGGCCACATGGGCCGCGGCCCATGGCGGCAAAAGGGGGCGGGAAATTTTGCAATTTTTTTAAATGCAGGTATAAAAAAAAATCGGATTCAGAAAAAAAATTACAAACGAGAAAAGGCGACAAAAGCTCTCATTTCCTGAGATTACAGTAATTTCTAATTTTGCCGTCTTTCGGTGATATGATACAAGAGACAGCACCTTTATTTAGTCAAGTTGAGAGGGAAACCAAACACGCATGGAGCGGCGTGGCGCAGAGAGCAATGTTGACGAAGACTTGAGATGAAAAAAGAAGCCCTCGGTGCGGCTGTTGACATGTAACACATATTAGCGCCTACAAGACTGTATGAATACTTCACGCATTGCGTCAAACACAGTGCGGTCAGCAGCGGTCGGCGCGGCGAGAAACGCATAGCGCCTACAAGACTGCATGAATACTTCACGCATTGCGTCAAGCACAGTGCGGTCAGCGTGGCGATGCGGCAGAAGTTAAAATTATTAAACCACATTTGAATCAGTGAGTTCGAAAACACACCAAGTCGGGGGAAAAAAATTGAAACTCCTAAAACTTCGCAGCGGACGAAGAAGTTAGTTTAAGAAAAACCTTTTTGGTGCCAAAGTATAAAAAAAACATATCTGTTATCTAAATGATCGTTTTATATAAAAAACGTGTAACGCTCATATAAAAAAAAAATCAAAGTTCAGACCTGACCGTAATATATGAAAAATGATAAAAGCTAGATAAGGTAATTTTTTTTACACACACATTTTTTTATTTTTTTATATAACGCATGCATACGAAAGTGTTAAAAGTGAACATTTTTATGTAACGATTATATAAAAAAATAGGTCATCATTTTCGTGAGCTTTTCGCGAATTAGAAGAATTTTTAGTATGTTCGCGAAAAGCTCACGAAAATTATAACATTTTTTTATATAATGGTTACATAAAAATGTTCACTTTTAACACTTTTGTAT